AAAGCTGTTATGAATGTCTTTACTTTTGAGAACTTTATGTTTTCTCTCATCTGTAAGCCCAAGTACAAGAGGAATCTGCTCCTTGTTCCTCTTAATTTCTGGGAGAACACCTCCCTTTTATAAGAAGCCCTTTCCAATGCCTTAGCTGAGGTTTAGCGTCTCCTCTACCTCCAGTTTTGCAACTTTGTTCAACTGGTCCATTAACCCAAAGAAGCTGGGCTTGGCACTTAGCAGCAATCACCTTGAGCATCATAGGTGGCGCCAGTCTCTAATTCTTTGTGCTGGTATTAGAGCTTGAACTCATGACCTAGACTCAGAACCTGGGTACTATCCTTGGTGCTTTTTTGTTTTTGTTTTGTTCAAGGCTGGCACTCTACCACTTGAGCCTCAGCTCCATTTCCGGCTTTTTGGTGGTTACTTGGACATAAGAGTCACACAGACTTTGCTGCTCAGGCTGGCCTTTGTACCTTGGATCTCAACCTCCTGAGTAACTAGGATTACAGGTGTGAATCACTGGTGCCTGGTTTCTATTTTGTTTCTATGTACAGTATATTATTGTGAATATAAGCTACATGATTTACTTTGGATATGATTCAGTCTCTGAGATAATACAGAGAGTTCCGCCACACACACACCCCCTCTCTCTCCCCGGATTTTCTCATTTAATAGATGAGCAAAGAGCCCAGGTTTCACTGTTGTTGTTGTTTTTCTCTCTCTTTACAATGTGTCTCTGTAGAAGGTAGAAGGCGTAGGGCTCTGCTGTCCTCCAGGGACTTCCGAGGACAAGGCCTTTCTTCAGCAAGTCTGACCTAAACAGAGCCAGCCCTCCCGAGCCCCTGAGCCCCAGCTGTGTGTTGGAAAGCTGGCTGGTAAGGCCCCTAATAAAGAGCAGACCTCCCAACCTCCTCCCCTCCTCCCTCCCCCACCAGCTCCACCGGCTTTTCAAATTAAAAGCAACTAAAACCTAAGGCCCGAAGACAAGGAGAGTGGAGTGCGGGACAACCTATTGTTGGGTGGAGGAAGCCGGGCTCTCTACCCAGTGAAAGGAAGGGCATCAAAAAGCCAGATTCAGGGCCCCGGCCCTGCCACACCCACCCAGGGTTCCCAGAGAGTGTGTGGGCCACCTGCGCGGCTCGGGGCAAGCTCTGGTCGTCAGCGAGGACTATCCATCACAGGCCCCAGTCTTTGGAACGGAGGGAGCCTCTGATCACCGTCGCCGGAAAAGGCTTTTCGGCTGCTCCCTGGGAAGACCCAGGGACCGCGAAGGAGATGCTGCAGCTTTTCCCCCTAGCCAGCAACCACGAAGAAGAGGAGGTGGACACGGAGTCTTGGAGAGAGGCTAACAGTCACCCCGGACGACACAGGCCCGTTGGACTAACTTAAAAGGAGCGTGCCAAGAGACTTCAACCCTTTGACCCTCGGCTGGGGCAAAGCCCTCCTTCTGTCTTAAAGTGGGGTCCACACCTCTGTGCTCGGAACCCACGATCCGCCCCACCCCCTCCCCCAGTCCCTCAGCTGGGCCCTAGGGGGCGGCTCCAGAGGTAAAGGGGGTGGTGGTGGGGGAGAGGCGGGGGAGGGAAGGGGCCCTCGGCGCCGTGTTCTCTTGCCCACCACCAAACGGCCCCGAGTTTTCAAACCCAGAAGCCCGAAACCCCTTCCCTTCCCTCCCCCCTCCCCCCCCCCCCCGCCCCCGTCCCGCCCATCAACTTCATTGAAAAGCAATTCACAAGTTGGTTGCGAAGTGATTTCACCACTGACAGCTTTGAAGGTTGTGAACATCTTTTAAGTCTTCGGCCAAAGGGGCCTTCCGCGTCCCCGCACCCCCCACCCGAGCCGGGGGTGGGGGGAGCAGTGGGGAGCGGAGGGGGGGGCGCGGAGCTGCTCCGACGCCGTCGGGGGACGCACGCAGCCTGGGAGGCAGGGCGGGAGGTGACCGTGTTGATGCGGTTGTAAGAAGCTGACGGGACCCTCTTTTCGAAGGCCAGCCCACGGCTCCTCCTTACGTTTGGCACCCAAATTCTTGGGCCCCGCGGGCCTGAAAGCGTAAGGCCGAGGCCCGAACTACCGCCCTTCTGGATCCCACTATTTCGAGGTTGGGCCTCCTTCCCCAGCGGGGTCCTAGACGCCTGGACTCCCCAGGATATGTGTGTGTGTGTGTGTGTGTGTGTGTGTGTGTGTGTGTGTGTGTGAGTGCGCGGCACTAGGTGGTTGAAAATCAAAATCTGGGTGCCAGTTGGATCCTTCGCCCGATCCACAGGGCGTCGGGGGTCCCCGAAAGGCGTCGGAGCAGGAGCCCAGCAGCTGATAAAGTCATCTTGCAGCCGGCTTCGCCCAGGCCGCCCTGCCCTGCATGTCCACTGCAGCGGCCCCAGGACCACCCAGGACCCCGGGCGTCCCGGGAGAAATCTGGAAGGATCTTACAACAACAGGGGCATAGCTCAGCGTCTCCCCCCTGCCCCCGCTCGTCCCCTCGACGCCCAAGAATGAGTGACAGGCGCACAGCCGACCTTTCCCACTGGCCAGGACAGGGGTGGGCGGACGACTCCATTCAAACCCGCCTATGGGCAGGGGTGGGCGGGGGCAGGCCTGGGTTGCAGAAACCCGTGGCCTGGGTTCCAGGGTCTCCTGCCTCGAGGTTGCTCGGGACCACTTGGGTTTATTTTGCTTTTGCGAGGGAGGCAGATGTTGACCGGTCTCCATCTTGGCTCCGCTCAGACCGGGGATGGGGGGGGGGTAGGGGGGTGGGTGGGAGTAGGGGGTGTCTCCCCTCCCCCTCCAACCATTTGGTTGAGTCACCCCCCACCGGGGCGCTATCTGCGTAGTCAGCTCCCCCTCCTCACTTCCCCGGCCTTTAAACCTGCGAGAATGTCACACATGGAAACCTTTAGCAAATGTTTGTTAATGATCATAACAAAGGCATCATTCAAATTAGGCAGGTAATTACTACCAGAAGGACAAACTGGGGGCCGGCTGGCTCATCCATTTCTCTCTGCTTCAAACTCCTGAGTTTACCACCCCGGGACACCCTTCCCCCTCCCCCCCCTTCCCAGCCCCTTTAAAGCTTTCCAAAATGAATTGTGCAGTTAGCATTTGTGGGCCAGGAACGCTGGGGCCTTGAGTGCGGGGTCCCAGGCGGCGGGACAGAGCTGGTGGGGCTGTCCCCCCACCCCCCGGCCCAGGCTCCCTGCCTTGTCTCCCCCTCTTGGATAACATATATATATATACATACACACACATATGTGTGTACATGTCTCGATAAATCTATATACATATACATACACGTTAAACGAATATATTCCTGTATATACAGGAATATATGTCTATACACACACCCAGCTCAACTGATCTTTAATAACAGCACGAACGCCTGCCCAGCTTGGCCTGTCACTGCGCGCACTCTCGACTGTGCGTTGGAGGACCGTGGTTCGCGGCCGTCCGTCATCTACAAGCATTACGGTATCCTGTTAGCATTCCACACAAGGGGCTGTTCATCCCTTCGCCCTCAATGATTTCCTGAAGGCACGAACATGTGGAAGTAATAGCTAGCGCGGCAGCAGCCCGAGCCGAGGCAGCACCCGAGACGGGCGCGCGGCAAGGCACCGGGGAAACGAGCTCCCCAGGCCGGCCCACAGGCGCCCTTCCCCGCGCCCGGCACCCTCCCGTCCTTGTCCAAGTCAGGCACGGCCCCGCGCTCTTTAGAGGGCTTCCCTGCGGTCCTCTGCGTCCCCTACCCGGCGACGGTCACTCGAGGTGCCCATCTCAGCCTGCCCCTCCCCCTGCCCATTTTGAGTGGGGTGCGGGCGAGATGGTGGGGGTGGGAGAGGACAGAGGGTAAAGGATGACCCTCCCCCCACTGAAACAAGAGAATTCAAAATTAGAGCGCAGGACGCGAACGCCCGCCCCTCCCCCGCCTTGCTGGGAAGCCCCACGGGCCCGGGTCTGGTTCCTGGAGCGCCAGCGCCCCCTTTCCCTCGCCAGCGGTAGCGTCTCAGCCCAACACTCTGGCTTGGTGTCCTGGGGCCCTTAAGGTTGTGACCCAATTCTTAACTCCCGGGACTTTTGTAGGGTCGGATCCATTCAGCGGGGGTAGAGCTCGGAGACAGCCAACATAAACCCCGCTCCTAGGATGCGGGGATACCCGGCGTAGAATCTCCAACCCTCAAGACTGGGCCTTTACGTGAGACAGAAGCCAGAGCGACCCCCCCCCCCCCTCCAAGATGACCCCTGAAAACAGAAGGTAAGAGGTAACTAGCTCCTAAAGAGGAAAGGGCATTCTGTGAGAGAATGTTCCAAACGTACGCAGACCCTCAGTCCTACGCGTAACCCCCTGTCAGACTCCAGCCAGCCTTTCAAAAACTCACCAAAGTCCTATTAGAATCAACAGTTAACTAATCCCATTAAAGGATTAGCAACGACGCGGCCACTTTCCCCGAGAGATCCCCTAGTTCAAAGACGCGAGGCCGCTGGGGAGATGTCTCCCCGAAATTCTGCTTGGCCCAGGAGTTCCTAGAGAAGGGGCAGGGCTCGGTTCCAGATTTATTTTCTCTACTAGGCATTATCTGCAATTCTACGCGTTGTTTTTCTTCTGTGAAGAAAATACAAAACTACAGCGACGTAGGAAAATAGCCCCCAAACTGGGAGGCAAGCTCATTCTGGAAATGATGGGCTATTTGTAGTTTCACGTAACTTCTTTTCCCGGCAGAGCGACAACCCCCGCCTCCACCCCCACCCCCACCACGCCAGCCACCCCCACCCCATCTGGTCTCTTTCTCCCCGCCCCCCAGTTGTTGTTGAAGTTTGGGGGTTGGGACAGGACCCCTTGATTGCATAAGAGCAAAAGGCGAAATCTGGAGGCTTGCGAGATTGAGTGCGCAGTGAGTTCGAGGGTAACTTTTATTTTGAAGAGGCTGAAGGGAGGGGGGGCTTCATTTCCTGACAGCTATTTACTTAGAGCAAATGATTAGTTTTAGAAGGATGGACTATAACATTGAATCAATTACAAAACGCGGGTTTTGAGCCCTTTACAGTTGGAGCTAGTGGGAGAGAAACGGAGACTGGAACTACGGAGAGGATTGGAGGCCTTGGGCGGACGGTTCTCCCCCCATGTGTAGGATTTTCCTTGTGGATTGACAGTCGGAGAAGGTAAGGGAGGAAGGAAAAAAATAAATTTTGTTTCGGAGGGAAATCCTTGATCAGATCTTGGAGCTGGAAGACACAAATGCTCTTCAAACTTTGAGCAATGAGGGGGAGAAACAGGGGAAAAAATGGAGCTGATTTCTGTTGTGTTCCCAGAAGAGAAATTTTTTTTTTTCTGGATAAACTTTATTGAGCAGGGGGAATAACCATAGAGTTAGAAAACCTGGAGATTAACACACACACACACACACACACTCACACACACACATTCCCCAGACCTATTTTTAAAAGTAGTGTTTTTCTAAGAACCCTATGGCCTCCCCAAGAAATTGTTTAGGCTTACATTTTTGAGGTCTCTTTCGAGGTGGGGGTGGATTCTGGCATGAACACCAAGGGGCCCCGGGGAGTGGAGGCAGAGGTGTTCGCCCTCTTCTTGGCAGTGCGTTCTGGAAGCGACAGGTTTTTAATGACTATTTTCATTCCTTGCCCGGCAGTTTGGCGGCACAGCGCTGCAGTCTGTGGGGCTGGTGGGGTGCTGTAGCTCGGCGTTGGTGTCGCGCCGAGTGGGGCGCGGGGAGGGGGTTTAGGAGGCAGGGGAGGTGTGAAGGGCTCAGCTGGAGGAGATCGGACCTTAGGTGCCAGCCGTGTGCACATGGCGCCAGCCAAGCGCGCGTAATTACTGGACGGCACTGCTCCTGGTGCGAGCCCGGGGTGGAGGGGGGGGGGTGGGTGGGCAGGCCAGACTCTGCACGGCCGTGGCTGCTGCCAGGCCGGGTAGCGGGGCGCGCGTTGGGGGGGGGGGCGGGGAGAATTTGAGGCCCTCCTCGCTGGATAGACAGGGGTCCGGGTAACGGGCGCCCGCCCTGCGGTGCGCTCTGATTGCGCGCCCGTCCCGGAGGCGGCGGCGGCGGCGGGGCGCGGGCTAGCGGTCTCGGGGTAATGACAAACACATTTGGCCCCGAGTGAAGAAGTCGTCGTCGGTGCCTCACATTCCAGCAACTGGGATTTGAGGAATTTGGAGCTGCACGCCGAGGGGCCCTCATTGTGCGCCGTGGTCCCCACCCCCACGCGTCTCCGATCGCCTGCTTCCTCCGTGGAATCTGTCCCTCCCCCCCCCCCCCGCGGGGCCCTGGGGCCGGGTGGAGTCTCGATCGCGGCCCCGAGGCGGAAAGAGGCGAGGTGTTTTGGAAAGCGTTGTCACCGAGAAGTTCGGGACTGTAGGAAACCGACACGGGGGGGGGGGGCAGGTAAGGCAGAGAGGTGAGCGGCAAACGTCGGTCGCCGTCGGCAGGAGAGCCCAGGGCTCTTTCTTTCTGCCCCCGCTCCCCCGCCCCGGTGCTTCTCTGGCGCTGGGATGCGTGGCAGTGGCGAGGCCGCGCACCCGCGCGTCTGCCTCCTCCGCCTCTCAGAGGATCCCTGGGTTCATCTTCCCAGCTCTGATCTCGCGGCGGGCTGCCGAGTCGGCTTCCCGGGGGGCCTCTGCTCCCAACTCCCCCCCGCCCTCCACCGTCTACCTCTAACGAAATCGGTTTAGACCTGGGAGGGGGAACTGCCCCCGAAGCGCCCGGGGGAGCGGGCGGGGTCCTCCAGGCTCTTGGAGGCCGCGGGGTCGAGGTTCTGTTTGGAAAGGGAGTGCGACCGGATCCCAGGAAGCGGTGATCGGAGCCCGAGCGCCCGAGGCCAGGTGTGCGGGAGTTGCCGGGGACTTGGCGACGCGCCTTGTTCAGAAAGGAAATGCTGTCTGCGCGCTGTGAGTCCCTCCCGCAGCCGGTCCGGCCGGTCCCGCCCCGGGATCCCTCTGCCCGGCGGAGACTCCTGGATGTGCGGGGAGTGCCTGGGGGGAGCCTGTCCCTCAGCTCGTCCCCGTGGGCCGGAGTTGGAGAAGCCCGGCTGGGGAGAAAGCCTGGCAGGCTAATCCCCGTCGCGTCTGGGCCACTCCGCGCCTCCTGGCTGCCTGGAAAAGCCCGGGACTGGGCGGTGTGGGAAATGGCTTTCTGGCTCCGTGGCCGAATTGCTCAATGTTTTGGATTGACTTGCTCTGCTCCTCTTAGAACCAAGGAACTTTGGGGGGAGTCAGAGGCGTCCTCCAGGACCCTACAGTCCGCCGGACTAACATCCCCAAACTCTGGGAGCCTCTAGAGGAGAGAAAGGGTCGTGCCCGGCCTCTGCACCCCATCTGCCGGGGTGGGGGGCGCTGGCTGAGATTTTACACAACTCTTCTCGGGGTGGCAGAACGGGGACCCCGGCGTTTCCTCTCCCTCCCCTCCCCCACCTCCTTTCCACACGCCTTTAATTTGGCAGGGGGGAGGGTGTTCACTTCTTCGACGCCCCAACAGGCCAAGGCCTGGCTGATTCCGCTCCGACACTCATCCCGCTTTGCTGTGGAGCGCTGCTATGGATGGTTCTCCTTGGGGGGTTGACTCCAAGACAGCTGGACCCTTGCTAGCCCGACGGGGGTGAAAGCAAGAGGGGGGTACGCCCAGAGTGATCCCGTCGCGCCCCCTACCCCCCTCCCCCACCTCCATGTCCGGGTCCTTAGATCGGCAGGAACGTAGAGCCCAGCTCGGGCTTCGCCGTCGACGCCGACGCTGCTTGGCTCTCTGGCTGGGGGCGGGGGGGGGGGGGAGTCACTGGGGGCGGGGCCTGGGGCCGGGGCCGTTCCAGCTGCAAAACGCGCCTGGCGCCGAGGCGGGCCGGTTCCTCTGCCTCCTGGGGACCGGCCGTGGGCGGCGCGCGTCCCGGGGACGCGGTGGGCAGCGCCTGCCCGCAGACCTCTGGACAGCGCACGCCCTCTGGCCTCCGGGGAGCTGCGTGCGCCCAGGTCACACGGTGCTGGCGGAAAATCTGGCCCATTCTGGAGAAAGCGTAAACGTTGGCCAGGTGACGGAGAGGTGCGGTTCCCGGTGAGCCTCACGTCCCGTCCCGCGCGCGGATTTACCCGTGTAACGGGCTTTGGGGAAGCGCGGCGCGGGGGAATCTTGGGGGATCGTCCCCGGCGGGGGGTTGGTTTGTCAGGGGTCAACTGCTCCAACCCCCCCCCCCCCCATTGCACTGTAGTTAGTCCTCGGCTTGGCCGGTCGCCCGTCTTTACCTGAAGTGGCTCGGTGGCATGCTCTTTGTTTTAAACTGCCGGCGAGCCGGGGACGGGGTGGAGATGCTACTCGGAGGGGATGGATCAGAGCAAGCCCGGGACTTGGGGCGCCTCCTTCCTGGCCTCCTGCGGTTCCCTCTCCCTCCCGACCGATCCGGGGGTGGGGAGGGTGGGGGGCTGGCGGGCTCACGGTGCGCGGAGGCCAGGCGGCCGTTGGGTAAGGTGGGCGCCGCAGCACGCACTCTTGGAAAGGTGAAGGAAGGGCGCGCAGGCTGGGCTCGCCCGGGCGGCCCCGCCAGCCCCGGCCCGGGCCGTTGGTGGTGGGACGCAGTGTGACTCTCGGGCCCACAGGAGGCGCTGGCGGGCGCCTGTAACTCTAACCCCTCCACCCCGCCCAGCCCCTCTCAGGTCTCCGCCGAAAACAATGCAAACGCCCTGAGTCCAACCCAGGGCGCGCCGGGCCTCTGCACCTCCGCGGCTCCGGGCTCGGTGGGAAAAGAGGGAGTGTGGGGAAGGGAGGGAGGGGTTCCCGGAGCTGGCCGGCCGGAATCGCCCCAGCCTCAGGGCAATCGATCCGCAGAATTCGTGGAGGAGGTGGAAGGGGAGGCAGCCTACGCGGCGTGCGTGTGCGCGCGTGTGCTTGTGACCGGAGGTGCTGGGTGCGGACCGTGGTCGGAGCTGCGGGTGTGGGCGATCCGGAGCCAGAGGCGCGGACCGCAGCCAGCCTGGTAAGATGCGCTGGGCTCCGGCGCCCCCTAGCGAGGTCCCCGGAGCGCTCCCCGCGCCCAGCCGGCCCCGGGCGCGCTCGGGCGCAGCTGTGCGGGAGCGCAGCGCCGGTGTCGTGTTGCGGGGCGCAGGGGGGGGGGTGCTGCCTTAGATGTTCGGCTCATTGGGCTCTCGTTTGCTTTTCTTGGAAGCGTGGAACGGACGCTCTGCAGGCCCTGGGTGGGCCTGGGGGGGAGGGAAAGGGGGAGACATCGGATGGGGGACGGGGAGGGGGAGGTGGGAAACTTGGCTTTGGGTTGGAGACTTGGGGCCTCCGAGGGGAGCGACACGCACAAGTCCCCTGGCCTCGCCCGCGGACTGTGTGGCTGTTGGTTGCTTTGTTTTTGTTTGTTTTACGACCCCGCGTGATGGTGCAAGTCGGAACATTTGTTTCCAGTCCGCTGGGCTGCCCCCACCCCCCACCTCGGCGGGTGGGTTTAGGAGGGGGTGACCGTGGCGTGCAAACAGACCGGGCATTGCGGTCGAGGGCGGTGACGGCGCCCTGGGGTCGCGTCCCTGCCCGGAAGGGCAGAGACACCAAGCACTGGAGCGTGTGTTCCCCCCAAACCCGAGTGGAGAGTCCTCCATAACCTTCTCGGCCTGGGTGGGCAGCAGTGTTTTCCGGGCTCTCCCGTGGTCCGATTGCCTGGCGCGAGTGATGATGATGATGAGGAGGAGGGTGATAAAGGTGATCTCATCCATCTTGGGCCTCATTCTCCAGGGGCTCAAGAGATTTAGGCATTGTTCAACAACAGTTTTGTTATTTCTCCTCCCATGCTGTAGCTTGCAATTGAGGTCACCACGAAAGCTAAAAAGTATCATGGGAGAAAGGAAGAGGTTGTAAATTAAAAGTTAGGACGTTTTAGGTCAGAATTGGTCGCAGTGGCGCTTGCTTTTCGGGATGCTCCTCTTTCCTTAGACCGACACTGCCATCTGCTGGCCACGCTGAAGAACTGCCATGTCCCCATGAATGGGCTTCCCGGAGATCGCAAACAAGTAGAGACATCCATCAGGCAGATGGATTTTTTCACCCACGGGCTTTACTCTCCTGCAACAATCATTGGATAGAAAACGTGTATTTTATGGACTTTTCTGTAATTTTATGCCTTTTTTGGAGTGGTGCTGGACATGAAATATAGGTCCTTGCCCATGCTAGGAAAATGCTATACTACAGATCTATATCCCTAGCGCCTTGCTTTAATTGTTCATCCTTTTCATTTGTATAAGGGGCAAAGAGTTTACCTTCCTCCCTCCTCTGCTTATCGGGGCTGATCTGCCAGTAAGATAAGTGGGTATTTAGATGTCTGTTTTTAACTGAGTGGCTATTACATGCTGCTACTCTTGAGGTTGTTCATTTTCAGTTACATCAATTTCGAAACAATCAAAAGGAAGTGTCGTTTTTCTCCTAAGGCTGAATATCTAGTGCAGGGGGGAACGGAAAGGTTTATGGGCGCAAATTGTTCCCATAAAAGTTCTTCAGCCGCCACCCATTCCTGGAATGTGTAATGGGCTCCAGGAGACCAAAACAACAGCAGGGTCTGCTTGGGTGCGGGTCTGGAATCACACTCTGGTCTGGAAAACAGAGCCGTTGCCATTGACACAGACCTGCTTTGGGGTTGCCCAAGGCGGAGTAAAAGGCTTCTGGGAAAAAAACCAAGATGTGTAATTTTCAGTTAGAATTAACTTTTGGAGAGCTGAAATTAACGCAACCTCGGAAATCTGAGCATTGAGGTCACCCATGGCTCTCAAGCTGGGAGAGTCTGCTGTGGTCTTTAATTGTGCCAGGGTGGGGTGAAATTCGATAGGCACTGGTTCTGCAGTGGGAAGCATTCATTGGTGTGGAAGCTGGTGTAGGAACCAAGTGGAGCCATTGCATTGCTCACCTCTGTTATGCTTTTGCCTAACATGTCGTCTTTGTTTATAAAGTCACCAGTTCAGTAGCTCTTCACTTGTTTGCAGGGGAGGAGATGGCATACTTCAAGAGAAAGGGTAGTTGTATATGGTGGTGCTCACCTGTGATCTCAGCACATAGGCTAAGACAGGAAGATCTCATGTTGGAGGTCAGAAAGAGAGCAAAGGAGAGAGAATAAAAATGAACAGTAGCTGTGATCAGGTTTGTTTCTGTGTGTGGGACTGTTGGCTACCCCAAGGTGATCGCTGACACGTAAGAATGAGCTGCTTGCCTGAGGAGACTCAAAACTCAGATCCACTTTCCACAGAGCAAGTTGTGTGGCTTCCAGGGTTTTACTGTGTGTGTGTGTGTGTGTGGGTGGGTGGATGGGTGCGTGCGTGCATGTGTGTACGTGCATGCTCACATACCTGTGTAGTGCTAGGGATTAAACTCAGGCCTGGACACTATCCAGGGACACTGTCCCTTAACCTTCTTGCTCAAGGCTGGCACTCTACCACTTGAGCCACAGTTCTACTTCCATCTTTCTGCTGGTCAATTAGAGATAAGAGTCTCAAGGGCTTTCCTGCCTGTGCTGGCTTCTCGATCCTCAGCTCTCAGCCTTCTGAGTAGTTAGGAATACAGGGGTGAACCACTAGGACCTGGCAAGGGCTTCGCTTTGTTAGGAAAGAGAGGCTGAAGCAGCCATCTGAAGTCACCATCTTCGAACTCATTTTAGGAACATGCAGAGGAAATCAACATGAAAACTCAAGTATATATGATAAAACCATGCAAGTTCTGCCCTTGCACGGTATGGTAGAGCAGGCAGGCATCAGGTATCATTAGTTTGGTTTATAGAAGAGAAGTGGTAGATGAATGCCAGATCTATGATCCAATATGGTATCTGTGTGTTTTTCCTGAGAGAAGGAATACAAAGGGAAGAGGAGGGGGAGAAGTCATGCCCCCTGCCAAAGTTGTTTTCCTGACGCTGTTTCTCTAACCTCTGGCAATACTTCTTAAGATGTTAAGAGAGGATGGAGTTGGAAACCCCATGTAAATTTGGCATGAGAGGAAATAGTATTTCCAAAGAAGATGGATGTGGAGTGCACTGTTCCTCTCTCTGCGGTGCTTTGCCCTCGCTGACTGCAGTACCTGTGTCGCTAGTAGCTCTCTGTACATCTGATTTGTGGCTCTGGGATGGGGGTAACTGACTGAGGATGAGCTACCACTCCCAAGGTAGAAAGGCCCTGAGAATAGCAAGATTCCCTCCCAGAGCTCCTCACTCCAAGCCTTCAGGCTTCTAGCCATCCTGGTACTGCCAGCACCTCCTCGTGGGCAGACTGCAATTCTTCCTGAAGAAATGCACATGAGTAATGACATGAAACTTCACAAATAACCTGGGTTTCTAGCCAAGGAGCTGTTCTTATCAGAGACAGGAGTTTGAAATCTTTAGCAAACACATGTTGATGCTCAGGATTCATACCACTATTATTTGCTTGGGGGCCCTGTTTCCATTGCCCACTTTGGATGTCAGTAAATAATCCCTTTGGCTTCTGGTCCACTCTATCTGGACACACAGAAGGAAATGTGACAGAGGCCTGGCCGGGATCGCATGGTCTGCAGAGCCTGTTTGGTAAATGCACTGAGCTCAGCAGTACTTGAGAGATGCATCATTGGCTAGCCTCGTGACAGAAATCCGGATATAAATGTGATAACACACGAGAGAGACGTCAGGCTGGTGCTGCAAGCGTCTTTGAAGTTGGCTAAGTGGATTATCAGTGGGAGGCTGATGTGTTTGTGAATAAACTCACCATCCTTACTGCTAATTGAGGTATACCAGGCCCCCAGCATGCCTCTGAGACCATAGCAATATGGAAATCCCATGTCCTGACACCTGCCAGGATCCTCAGAAGCCCTACCCCAGCCAGCACCGTGCAAATAGAACCTGGGTTCACAACTCTGCCATTGCTTTCCTTGCTCTGGGGTGAGCTGAGAAGGCATGGAGCTCCCGCTGGCGTCAGGAAACAGTGGGGCGCAGACAGCAGGACAAGGCTGAAGCAGTGACCTTTCCTTAAGCGAGACTCTATAGTAGAGTAGAAACAATATGGCTTTCTCGGCTCCCAGATTTGTGTTGGAATCCTCCCTCTGCCTGAGTTATTTGCGAAACTTCTCTGGGCCTCAATTGCTACTTACAGTCAATTATGTCTCTGTCTTTCTTTCTGTCTTCTCTCTGTCTCTGCCTCTCTCCAATGACCCCCTCCTCCTTCTCAGCATTGCATCTCCAAATAAACTCAGTTCCTTCCGGACTTTTCTGAAGTCAAGATCTGACTTCTGTATCTAAGCCTATGTAAAGCATGGTCAGGTACCATCAAGCCTGCTCTGAGTCATTATCTGCTGAGGCCTCTTCATCAAAAAGAAATAAAGGAATACAAAACAACGTGGGCTAAACAAGGCGGATGTCGAGCCCTTCTTCCCTAATTTAAAGGCTAGTCACTCAAATCATGCGCACATACCTTACTTCTAAAGTCAGTGAGGGCTGGGCTGGGTGTCATCAGCTCACTCCATTACATGAACTGACTTGCAGTGGGACCTGGGTATTAGGATGTATGGGTTATCTTTGATTTTGTGCTAGTACTGGGGCTTGAACTCAGAGCTTTTCACTCTTGCTTAGATTTTGGGGGGCTCAAGGTTGGTGTCATGCCTCTACTTCTGACTTTTTTTTTTGCTGGTTAATTGGTGATAGGAATCTCATGGGCTTTTCTGCCCAGGCTGGCTTTGAACTTCAATCTTCAGATCTCAGACTCCTGAGTAGCTAGCATTTGCAGGTGGGAGCCCCTAGAACCTGGCTTGGATTATCTTCAAGCTTTTGTTTCTGCTCAGGTCCCAATTGTAGAGGAAGTGACTCCTGACGAGTTGAAACATGAAGCAAAAACTGCTGCATCTAAAAGCAGAAAGTCCATCATGTTGTTTGCATTCTTAATTTAAATGATCTAAAGGAAGAGTTTTTCTGTATCTAGGAGACCCTATGTCAAAAATAACTAAGCAAAATAAGATAGGAGGTAGGGCTCAAGTGGCAGAGCTACTTGAGTGAGTGGGAGGTCCTCAATTCAAACCCAATACCACCACCACTAAAAAAGTGTTTAAACTTTAGATCCATTCTGTCTCAAGGCTTCAACTGGGCTATTTGATTCTTTCTGCTTAACATATTAATTGAAGGTCCAATTTTAGACCAAAATGAGGCCAGTAACATTTTCTATTGTGCAAGGTCTAAAGAGAACCAACATGAAGGTTCTTTTTTTCTTTTTTTTTTGTCGGTTGTGGGGCTTGAACTCTGGGCCTGGGCGCTGTCTCTGAGCTCTTCAGCTCAAGGCAAGTGCTTTACCACTTGAGCCACAGCGCCACTTCCGGTTTTTCTGGTGGTTTGTTGGAGATAAGAATTTCACAGACTTTTCCTGCCAGGGCTGGCTGTGAACCGCGATCCTCAGATCTCAGCCTCCTGAGTAGCAAGGATTATGGGCGTGAGCCACCGGTGCCCGGCATGAAGGTTCTTTTCTATTGGCTAATTCTGTTTCTGTTTGACATTTGCAGTTTTCCACAGCTATGGGGACTTCCCATCAGGCCTTCCTGGTCTTCGGCTGTCTCCTCACAGGTATGCATCTTGTCCTCTAGGTCTTGGTCCTTGGGATCCTTGCTTCTAAGTTCTGTGACCTGTGGGTCTGTTACCTGTACCGTGAGCACACAGGCCAACCCCTGGGGAAGAGAGATAGAAAGTTCTCTGAAACCACGGCAAACTTTCATTTCCCTTTCTATATTGCACTAATTCCATTTCAAAAGAGTGCCCTCTAGTGTCGGTTTGAGGCTATGCATAGTCCTGCCATCGAAACTGTACAAGCCTAAACTTCACAACTACCCTCTTCCCTGCCCGTGGCCTGGCCTTCCTGAAGAGGCAGATCAGATCAATTCAAGCATGATCAAAAGAAAAAAGGACAGAACATTCCTGGGTTGAGACGTGGCTGAAGTGGCAGAGTATCTGCCTAGCAGGTGCCAGGTCCTGAATTCAAATTCTTGTATGGCCAAAAAAGAAAGAACAGAGCTCTCTTGTCCTCTCCAGCCTGCTTGCCCCAATGAAGGACGCTTTCTTAAATAAGTTGGTACTTGTCATTGACAGAAGAGTGTTTGGCTCATGGGAAATCTTACCTCTTTCTCTGCCATGCCTATTTGTTAAAACATTTTTCAGATTTTCTAAATTTTCATCCAGGTCTTAACTATGACTACCAATGTTTCCCCTAAACTTGGCTGGGGTCCCCATATTAGGCTCTTAGGGAGAGTGGGGGCCATTAACTAATAATGAATTAAGTCATGCTACTATCTCCTGTTTATTTCCTAGATGAGAAGCCAGACTGAACTTTGAGATTTAGGATGAACTTACAGCTCGGGTTTTACTTACTGTTTGAGAATTAAAATCCATACCTTCCTGCTTTGGTCTCTGAAAGTCATTAAAGAGAGACAGCTTGCCATGGGCCTGTAAGAAACAGATTTGCACTTTTTTTTTTTTTTTTGCTAGTCATGGGGCCTGAACTCTGGGCCTGGGCACTGTCCCTCAGCTCTTCAGCTCAAGGCTAGTGCTCTACCACTTGAGCCACAGCACCACTTCCGGCTTTTTCTGCTTATGTGGTGCTGAGGAATCGAACCCAGGGCTTCATGCATGCAAGGCAAGCGCTCTACCATTGAGCCATCTTCCCAGCCCCTGCACTTCTATTCTTGAACACGAATCTGCTTTGTGCCTTCTTCCTCAGCCCCTCTGACTTTATTTTCAGCCCAGACCCCCTGTGGTAAACCTGGGGTACCCTCTGTAGGGCATGTGCCCAATAAAGAATCCATATGTACTCCAGCCCAGGCCATCTCGAGATATTTTATAGGCACACATAATTGTCTGAAATATGGAATTGGAATCACACATCCTCTATCCATTTGAGTGTTGGAGGGCTGAATCTGGGGGGGCGGTTGGTGGGGTAGCCAGGCCTTTGGAACACTCGCTGTCCTCAGCAGATGCAGCGACTGTTAGAATGGAGGCCCATTCATAGACCTCCAGGCTAACGGGCTTTTGCGCAAAAACGGTCGTTGTTCATATAAGGGGCTACTGTGGCTCCTCTCCGGGCTCCACTGAGCCCTCCCTTTCTGATCGCATCCTATTCAGAGCCTGCTTTTCTTTTGCAGGGCCGAGCCTCATCTTCTGCCAGGTTTCATTACCCTCCATCCTTCCAAACGAAAATGAAAAGGTTGTACAGCTGAATTCGTCTTTCACTCTGAGATGCTTTGGGGAGAGTGAAGTGAGCTGGCAGTACCCCATGTTTGAAGAAGAGAACCCCAGCGTGGAGATCCGAAATGAGGAGAACAATAGTGGCCTTTTTGTGACAGTACTGGAAGTGGTTGGGGCTTCAGCGGCCCACACGGGATTGTACACTTGCTATTATAACCACACTCAGACAGAGGAAAGTGAGATCGAGGGCAGGCACATCTACATCTTTGTGCCGGGTGAGTGGGATGGGCTTCCTGGACACCAAACTTCATCTCTCTCTTTCTCTCTCTCTCTTCATTAAGATCTAAAATTGTAAACCTAATAAATATTTGTGGAGGGGAAATTTGAAAATATTGACCACAGACATTTATTGTTATTTGACATAAGGTCTCCCTATGAATTCCAGGCTGGCCTTGAACTTGCCATCTTCCTGCCTTAACCTCTTAAGAGTCAGGATTGCAAGTGCACTCCACCATGCCTGGAAGATACAGAATAAAATCAAGATTGTTGGCAATGTTATTATTTTTATTTTTTGGTTGGTCGTGGGGCCTGAACTCTGGGTCTGGGCGCTGTCCCTCAGCTCTTCAGCTCAAGGCTAGTGTTCTACCACTTGAGCCACAGCGCCACTTCTGGATTTTTCTGCTTATGTGGTGGCTGAGGAATGGAACCCAGGGTCTCATGCATGCAAGGCAAGTGCCCTACCACTGAACCACCTTCCCAGTCCCGGCAATGTTATTATTAAGAAATAGACATGTTTAACATTTCAGAATTGGACTGAGTTTTGAAAATCATCTTTTTTTATAGCGTGTTTTAATTGGTGTGCAAAAATGTGAAATATACACTCATTCAGGTCAGTCAGGTTCAATAATTTTTATATTAAGTCAGATACTTTACTCAGCGATGGGTACAGAAGAATGAATAGGTAGGCTTTGTCTGGGATTACTTTATAGTTCAAGCACAGTAGATCCTAAATAGCCACCTAAATGTTCAGATTTATACAAATCTGCATTTGTGTGTGTGTGTGTGTGTGTGAACACATCACCATACTGTAGCTTGAGCTCAGGGCCAAACTCTTGCTTGCCTTTTTGTGCTCAAGGCTGATATTCTACCACCTGAGCCACATCTCCATTTTAGGATTTTCTCTTCCTTCTGGCTTTTTGCTGGTTAATTGGAGATAAGAGTGTCTCAGATTTGTCTGCTAGATTTGCTCTGAACCTTGGTCCTCAGATCTCAGCCTCTTGGGTAGCTAGGATTACCAGCTTGCATTTACTGTTGGCGAATTGGAATGGGTTTCTTTTTGTCTTCTTAATTAAAATTTAAAGAGAAAACCCCATGGGAACAATCCTGTCTTGTGTTCTCTGAGTGGTGGATGCAAGATGCCATGAGGTGCACAAGGGTTTATTAGGGGAAAGGCCTGTAGAGTAAGGAGAGAGGAATCCTATGGAGGTGGGAAGAGCCACATGACTCCATAGTAACTTGTTGAAGGCATAGATGTCCTTAGACTGCTGTGCTACCCAAGGAAGGTGTTGGATCCCAAGCCTATGGACCCCAGTTCTATTTAGCTATTGGCAGGAAGCATAGCTGGGGAGCATGACCTTAAGCTGAGATGGTTTTCAAGGTCAGACCTTAGTCAGTTAAATCCTTTGTGATTTATAGGATACATAGGATTAACAGCTACACTAATTTCAGACTTAGCCATGATCATGGGAAAATCTGGTCTACCTCCTACCTTGACTTCACTGTGGACTGTCCTGTAATTCTGTAGTTGGTTTCTATCTGGATGTATTGTCTCTGTCTAGGACATTGTTCATAGGACCCTGACTTACTTAACCACTGTGTGGTTAGTGCATGATGACTTAGAAGATTATTATTATCATTATTATTTTTTTGGGGGGGTCCGGTGGTGGGGCCTGAACTCTGGGCCTGGGCGCTGTCCCTCAGCTCTTCAGCTCAAGGCTAGGGCCCTACCACTTGAGCCATAGTGCCACTTCCGGCTTTTTTCTTTTTGCTTATGTGGTGCTGAGGAATAGAACCCAGGGCCTCAGTCATGCAAGGCAAGCACTCTACCACTGAGCCACCTTCCCAGCCCAGAAGATTATTATTTTAACGGAATGCCTGGGATGATATGTTAGGAATATGGGGCTCTATATTTGAACCCGAATTAACTGTCAGGTTTGTTGAAATCTTTACTAACACTGTTTACAAATTGGAAAGTGGACCAAATTTGAGTGATGGCAATTAACCAAACTGTTCACAATGCTTTTGTCTTTGGGTATCATGGTTATTTTGGCTAGGGTAAGGTAGGGAGGTCTTACAAAACAACACGTTTGCCTTCCTTTCTCAGCTTTGACTCAGCTCCTCTTCGGGAGCTCCATCACTATGGGCCTCTCCGGCCACACGTGTTTGTGTGAAAGCCCTCTCTCAGAAGGGGAAGCGATTTAGAATTTCATCTTAACTTCACCCATAATGCTACTTAGCTCCCTTCAGTGAAATTCTAATTCTGGACAGCTGTTTTCCTTCCTGTACAAAGGATGGTGGCAATGTGGGCTTCTTATGGGTGAGTCCTCAAGTTCTGAGTCATCTAAACTAGTCTGAAATGGTTTCCCACTTGACCTGCAACATAAACATCACCCAAGTGGCTCCTGAATTGCCCCACAGGGACCTTTTTGTCAACAGCCATGAAACCCAGGGCACTTTTTGGAGTTTGTGCTTGAAACAAAGTACTACTTACCACAGTGGATTAGGTAGTGAGCTCTTTGGAGAGGCAAAAGTCAGGTTGTGGAATTAAAGCACGCTTGGGGGGAGGGGGTGTCAAACTCAGTCCCTGCCGCTGCCCTTCACTCCCAGCTTTACGTTATTACTTGGGAGCTCATTTCCAGTAGATTCCTGGCCTACTTTTTAATAAGACTGGCTATATGCATTAGGGTTTTCTAAAAGCATTTCATAATGTAAGAATTATGACCATGTCCTTTGGAACAGAGTTGAACTCTATTCAATTTTCCATTTTCCTTCTTAATTGCGTACATTTTGACTTGGATTCCTGGCTAATAATTCTCTATTTCTCAGCATTTTTTTTTCATTAGGTATAGGCAGTAGAATATTATTGAGACTTGAAAGGCTCCTGCTAGCGATTACAAGTTTTCTGCTAGCTGGATGTTGGTAAGGATAGCTCTTCAGGATCTGTATATAAATGTAAAATTCAGCCCAGCAGTGCTGGCTGGGGGCGTGGCTCCTTGGTTGAGAACCTAGCAAATGGAATTAGCTGCAATCTCCAGCAAAGCAAACAATGAACAATAATAATGTCAATGGGATCATCCTTCTGCATGTATATGTGAAGGTGAAATGAATGTCTAATAGAAAGTCTTCCTCTCCTTTTTTTTTTAAACCAAAACCACAGACCCGGATGTAGCTTTTGTGCCTCTGGGCATGATGGATTCTTTAGTCATTGTGGAAGAGGATGATTCTGCCATCATACCTTGTCGTACCACTGACCCAGAGACTCCAGTGATCTTGCGCAACAGTGACGGGCTGGTGCCTGCCTCCTATGATAGCAGACAGGGCTTCAACGGGACTTTCAGCATGGGGCCCTACATCTGTGAAGCCACTGTCCAGGGGAGGACGTTCCAGAGCACTCAGTTCAACGTCTATGCTTTGAAAGGTATGTGCCCCTTCTCTTTCCTTCTTTAAATAAGAGTAACATAGAAACGAGGAATTCTTTTCATTTGAATCACAGTCACTGGAAAGTGGAGGTGTGGAGTTGTATACAGACTAGCTGACCTCTGTGGCTCTAATAATTCTAGGATTAAAGCTTGCTAAAGGCTAAAGCTTGCTTATCCATGTGAGCAAGTTGGTGGGTTGACTTCAAAATACTGTAAGGAATTCTTTGATTGCATAATAAGCCTCTTACTATTGGGTTCATATTTTTGATTACAGAAACCCTGGAAACAAACACACAACCCAGGAGGTCAGATGCCTAGATTATGATCATTAATTTTTTTTTTTAGTTATTTTAAGAATTAAGTGATTTCAATCGGTCTCTTTGATCCACGTGCTTTAATCTAGATGGGAAAGTATGACAGGTGTGGGGGTGGAGCTGGCAGATACCTACAGAGCACTTGCTGTGCATGGAGGAATAACAGCAATAGGAGTAGATCATTTAGCTCTTTATTTATTTTTGGTTAGTCATGGGCTTGGGTTCTGGCCCTCAACTCTTTTTGCTCAGAGCTAGTGCTCTACCGCTTTGAGCCACAGCACCACTTCTGGTTTTCTGGTGGTTAATTGAAGATAAGTCGCCTGGACTTTTCCTGTCCAGGCTGGCTTTGAACCATGATCCTCAGATCTCAGCCTCTTGAGTAGCTAGGATTATAGGCATCAACCACCAGTACCCAATTCATTCAGCTCTTAATTAGGGTTTTACTTTATGCCAGACATTGTGTGAGGTACTGAGAAAGTGCTAAGAGTAGCTGAAGCGGTGTGGAGGAGAAAAGAAGGTCTGGGCCAGGAGTAAAGGGCCTAAAGTGGTGTTGGCCAGGAGTGGGGGGTGGATAAATACATTATTAAGTATACCATTCTATGAGGAATTCAAATGTGTGGGGGGATTCTGCTATGTTGGAATTCATTTTTTTTAGTGTTACCATATGGTATTCCTATATGATAGCTCCATGCCAAGTTATGTAGACCAACTCAAAAATCAAGGCTTGATCAGAATGGTTTGCAAAATATTTTTTTTTCAGAATTTTCTTAAAAAATACACCCAAACCTTATATGATCCTAACGATATTATTGAGGTATTGAGATCCTTGTATTTTTTTGTTTGTTTTCTAGCCACATCAGAACTGGATCTAGAAATGGAAGCTCTTAAGACTGTGTATAAGTCAGGGGAGACAATTGTGGTCACCTGTGCTGTCTTTAACAACGAAGTGGTTGACCTTCAATGGGCGTACCCAGGAGAAGTGGTAGGTACCCTCAGAACTCCAGGGGGCCTGGAGCAGGTGTAGCAGGACTAAGATGACCTTTTGTGTTCAAGGTACCTGTCACTGAGGGGCATGAGCCAGAGCCTCTGCAGACCTCAGCTTCTATCTGTACAAAGAGCACACAGACTTTATGGCCTCCTATAGGGCCTATTAAGGCTCCTTGATCAGTGGGACAGTCTGAGATGACCGCCGTGGACTAGGCCTTCAGAAAGACATGCAGATCCTTCACTGAGCCTGCTTTTTCACAAGTCAGAAAGGAACAGGAAGGTTTTATGGCTCCAAAACAGCAAGCAAAATGTTAGAAGATCAAGAAACGATGGAGATGAAACATTTGCCAAGTGCTGAGGCAATCCTTCATTCTCATTTCTGGCTTCCATGCCTTGCGGTTCTGAGGCATAGCATAGTGTTAATTTTCCATCCTTCTTTCTTCTTTCTTGGTACCCAGAATTCTCTGCCCCTCCTGTTTTGCCTCCTGTGGACCTGGCTCACCTTCAGTGAGCCAGTATCTCTGTTATCATTCAGCAAAGAGGCAGTGTGGATGTGCATCCATGAGAGATAGAAAAACGTTTTCCAGCCCCAAACCCATGCTGTTTGGCCCACAAATATATCATCTTGGTACTATTTTATGAAATTTTTTTTCATAACAGCAATGCAAATTTATCATAGAAGCTTCCTAAAATCTAGGGAAACAGAGAGAAAGCTGTTTTCCAAAGCATCAATGGTTCTGATTTAAGGAAGATAAATGCTTACAAAATACATACATAAGTGTTTAATAATAGATATTATTCTTTTAAATACGTTTTTTATTGTGAAAATACTTCACAGAGGGGTTACAGTTTACATGAGCAAGGTAATGAGTACCTTTCTTATCAAGCATTGTTGCCTCCTCCTTTGTTTTTCCCCTACCATCCCTTCCCTCCCAGTTGTTGTGATATTATTCTTTAAGGAGTACATTGGTAGGCCTCTTCTTCAGCAATGTAATAGAGGCACCTCACTGATGTCATTCAAACTTTGCTTTCCTTTATTTATTTTCTGATTTAAAATGTTGTCTTTTCAGTGCTAGGGATTGGACCCATGACCTTACATATGTTATGCATGTGCTTTACCACTAAGCTACATTCTCAGTCCATTGTCCTTTTAAAAATTTGACTTTCTAATGACCTGGATTTTTTTTAGCCCTTTTAGTACTTTAGAGCAGCTATAGGTTTACAGGAAAATGGAGAGTTTCTGTGATTTTCCCAACTAACTCCTGCCCCTATATACATGAAGCCTCCCCCATTTCTGAGTTCCTCCAGCATGGTGTATCTCTTGGATCTGATCAGATTGCCCGATCACATTGACAGATCTTTACTCTCCAGAGACCAGTTTCCATTAGGAACCACTCTTTAAAAGACAGTTTTCTTCTCCTCTATGTAGAAAGGCAAAGGCATCACGATGCTGGAGGAAATCAAAGTCCCGACCATCAAATTGGTGTACACTTTGACAGTTCCCGACGCCACCATGAAAGACAGTGGAGATTACGAATGTACTGCCCGCCAGGCTACGAAGGAGGTCAAAGAAATGAAGAAAGTCACCATTTCTGTCCATGGTACATTCTGCTTTCTAAAATGTCAGTCATCCATGCTGCTCGGGATCCGAATGCAGTGATGATTGTGTATAACAGAAACTTCCGTTCTATGCACAGAGAAAGGGTTTGTTGAGATCAAACCCACCTTTGGCCAGCTGGAAGCTGTCAACCTGCATGAAGTCAAACATTTCGTGGTGGAGGTGCAGGCCTACCCCCCTCCTAGGATATCCTGGCTGAAAGACAATTCAACTCTGATTGAAAATCTCACTGAGATCACCACTGATGTGGAAAAGATCCAGGAAATAAGGTAAAGAATGCCTTTCCCAAGACTGCCTTCTTAATGTGTGTCTTCCCAGACAGACTGATGATGGTTATATGCAAAAAGTCTACCTAGAAAACAGCAGTCTGGGGCTGGGAAGGTGGCTCAGTGGTAGAATGCTTGCCTTGTGTGCCTGAGGCCCTGGGTTCGATTCCTCAGCACCACATAAGCAAAAAATAAAAAGCCGGAAGTGGCGCTGTGGCTCAAGTGGTAGAGTGCTAGCCTTGAGCTGAAGAGCCCTTGAGCTGACAGCGCCCAGGCCCATAGTTCAGGCCCCATGACCAGACCCCCCCCCAAAAAAAAAAAAAAAAAAAAAAAAAAGAAAACAGCAATCTGAGTTAAAACCATCTTTTGTAATAACATTGCCATGAACTAATAATAACATGTTGGTAAGTATTTAAGGATTAAATGAAAAGAAAGAGTGGTAGACTACTTTCACCTCTTAGTGAGGTAAGTGGGGAAGTTTTGGGTAAGTAAATCCTTGGCCTCTATTTCTTCATTTATAAACTAGGGTGAGGGATACTTTATGTTCTTCAAGGCAAGATACTGGATCACATGAAACCTTGAGGTCACTCGCAGTAACCTGTCTTTCCTTTTTCTCCCTCCCTCCCTCCTTCCCTCCCTCCCTCCCTCCCTCCTCTCCTCTCCTCTCCTCTCCTCTCCCGTTCCTTCCTTCCTTCCTTCCTTCCTTCCTTCCTTCCTTCCTTCCTTCCTTCCTTCCTTCCTTCCTTCCTTCCTCCCTCCCTCCCTCCTTCCTTCCTCCTTCCTTCCTTCCTTCCTTCTCCTCCCTCCTTCTTTCCTCTTCCCCTTCCCCTTCCCTTTCCTCTTCTCCTTCCCTTTCCCCTTCTCTTTCCCTTTTCTTTCTCCTCCTTTCCCCTCTCCTCTTCTTTCCTTTCTTATGCTGGTACTGAGGCTTGAACTCAGGGCCTGGCACTATCTTTTAGCTTTGTTGCTCAAGTCTTGTGCTCTGCCACTTGTGCCATTTTTGCTTAGAGCTTTTTAGTGGTTAATTGGTGATAAGAATTGGTGATAAGCATGGACTTTCATGCTTGTACTGGCTTTGAACCATGTTTCTCAGCTCTTGTTCTTTTGAGTAACTAGGATTACAGCTTGCTGTTCCTCCCTCCCCCGCCTCTCTCTCATGGTGCTGGAGATGAAAACCCCCAGGGTATCTTACATGATAGCACTTTAGGACTGAGCGACACCATCAACCCCTGGTGTAGTTTTATGGTATGATTAAATATAGAAATTAGAAGATAGAGGGCCCAGTTAATTAACTCATATGTCCTTTTCAGAAATCTTCCCAGGAAAAATAAAGTTAGTCCTGTATTTGAAACCTGCAGGAAAGGGGACATCAGAACTTTCCCCATCAGTTCACTTAACTCTAGGATTTACTTTCTTTTCGCTGAACTATATTTTCCACATCTAATAATTGAGAAGAATTTTGTGTGATTATGGTGATAAGAATTGTGTCCAAGACATAGAATTTTATATCCTCTATAGAGCAATGGTAGAAAATGAAAAGGATGCTGGGTGCTGGTGGTTCATGCTTGTAATCCTAGCTACTCAGGAGGCTGAGATCTGAGGATCACGGTTCAAAGCCAGCCCAGGCAGGAAAGACCATGAGACTCTTATCTTCAATTAACCACCAGAAAATGAAGTGGCGCAGTGGCTCAAAGTGGTAAAGCGCTAGCCTTGAGGTGAAGTGCTCAGGGACAGAGCCCAGGACCAGAGGTCAAGCCCCATGACCAACACCAACAAAAATGGAATACTGAATCTAAAAGGTCCTTCTTTTCCTTCCTTCCTTCCTTCCTTCCTTCCTTCCTTCCTTCCTTCCTTCCTTCCTTCCTTCCTTCCTTCCTTCCTTCCTTCCTCTCCTCCTCCTCCTCCTCCTCCTCCTCTTCCTCCTCCTCCTTTTCCTCCTTCTCCTCCTTCTTTCTCTTTTGTGGTGCTGGGGATGGGACCCAGGGAAGGCCCCTAGCATGTTAGCAATTTTTCTACCATTGTGCCACACCCCAGCCCTAGGAGGCCTTCTGGTGACATGAAATGAAGATACACATGAGGTGGGCAGCTTTCCACTAGGAACTGTGAAGGCCAAGAGGAACAGGATAATCCTGGAATAGCTGCCTGTTCATATGGTCTAAACAAGTTCTGCAGGCTGCAGTCAGTAGCAGTGACAAATCAAGCTCGCTAACTGAGTGGGTTTGGAAAGCTGACTTTTCCAGTGATTCCAGAGTCCTTTAAAGTCTTTTGTATGATTAAAAAAATTCTTTACCACATAGTTTTTGTATCCCTATTGTGGGACAGATATAGTGAAGGGATATTTGGAGTTAAAACCAGTGGTCCCACAGGCTGAATATACATAGATAATATGTATCACAGGATCATTTGGTCACCAGCTGCCAAGTGTGCCTGAGAGAGCTCTTAGGAATTCTAGTCCCAAAGAAAATCTAATATGGTGCAACCAACAGGAAAAGTCAGCCCAGTCTCTTTTTATACAGGTCCTTGGACCCAGTATTTGCAGAATGGTTTTTGAGCCTAGAGAATACTTCTCTACATGCAAACTCACTTAATGAATCCTCAGAATTATTGTGTTTGTACACAGTAAACACACAAAAGGAAACAGGCCAGGGACAATTCAATAATGCCCAACATCTTCCCAATGACCAACGCTCTTCTTCACAATTCCATTTGCATTTGTTGTCAATTGTGATGTTTTACAAAGGACAATCAAATGGGAACATATTATCACACACAGCAAGCCAAATAACCATGTATACTATATGTAGGAAATTTTTCAGGAAAACCTATTAATAAAAGTATGAAGAAGTGTCTTTTTTTATAATTTACCTTTCTGAGTTGGTGGTGGAATCCCATGCTTTACAAATAAAATCAAGCAAGAGGGGCTGGGAATGTGGCTTAGTAGTAGAGTGCTTGCTTAGCTAGCATGTATAAAGCCCTGGGTTTGATTCCTCAGTATCACATAAACAGAAAAAGCTGAAAGTGGCACTGTGGCTCAAGTGGTAGAGTGCCAGCCTTGAGCAAAAGAAGCTCACGGACAGTGTTCAGGCCCTGGGACTGGAAAAAAAAAAAAAGAATATCAAGCAAGAAGAAGATGTGAGGAAGAAACTTCCTTCTATTCCTGATCCCAACTGTCCAGTTATCTGCTCCTCTCCACAGAAAAACACGCCTGTTAGTATCACTAGGTTCTTATGGAAGCTTCTAGTGTTTCTTTAAGCAAATGCAAAAAAAAAAAAAAAAAAAAAGCAGGACTGTTGTATCCTTCACTCCTGTTCAGATCAACATAGAGTACCCTCATTCTCCTCAACATTCCATTGTTTGGCAGAATCATCTAAATGACAGTTATGGAAAACAGGTATTTTGTTTAAAAGTTAAGAAGTCATGGATTTTCTTTAAAAAAGAAAAGCTGTGGGCAGTGTCTATTCCTATTTCTAAGTGAAGTCTTGCCACTGATAACTCTTGCAGATGGTCTTTGCTTATCTCAAAACACCTGATTTTCTTTGGTGTTCAGATTCAGACCTTCAATACATGGGAACTATATTGAGAAGTGCAGAAAAAGAGATTGATATAAGAAAAAAAATTACAAAAAATGGAATTCAAGTTGAAGATGATAATTGAGTTTATTTAGTTATTGCTTACTCAAAGTTCTCTTCTTTGAAGGTATCGGAGCAAATTAAAACTCATCCGTGCTAAAGAAGAAGACAGTGGCCACTATACAGTCATAGTTCAAAATGAGGATGATGTGAAGAGTTACACTTTTGAACTATTAACTCAAGGTATGTAAAAGTGTACAAAGGCAAGGCCAGCTTTCAGAATGGCTGTCTCCTAGACAGCTTGGCATTCCTTTCCCAGGCTGTGGAGGAAAACAACACTTAACAGTTGGGAGTGGAGATGACACATGTCAGGGACAGCTTTGTTGTACCTACAGATGCAGGGAAAAGTTGAACATTCCCAATCCAAAACTCTAGAATGCTGCAAAGTCTGAAACTTTTTGAGCACAGATGTGGTGCCGCACAACCCGATACCTGACATCTAGGGGTGGGTCACTGTGAAAATGCAGGGACACACAACTACTGAACAAATTCATTTCCAGGATATGTATAGATGTATTCAGAGGAGAACAATGGAAGGATGACAGTGATCAAACCGACCATGCCCACACCAATTTTAAAAATTGCTAGACTCTGGTGGCTTATGCCTATAATCCTAGCTACACAGGTGGCTGAGATGTAAGGATTGTGGTTCAAAGCCAGCCTGGGTAGAAAAGTCTGTGAGAATCTTCCTTCTAGTTAACCCCCTTCCCCCCCTCCAAAAGGTGTATCTATATAAATGAATTTAATATTGAGACTAGGTCCCATCTCTACAAAGTATCTTATTGTGTTTATGAAGTTTTCTAAACTCGGAGATTATCTGAAATCCAAAGCATTTCTGAAATTTTTTTTGAGGTGCTGAGGATTGAACCCAGAGCTTTGCACATGTTAAGCAAGTGCTTTTACTACTGAGCTCCAACCCCAGTCCAAAACACTTCTAATCCCTAGTAGTTTGGATGATGGATGCTTATCCCACAATCCAGAGGGTTGGTTACTCTGAATGCTATGAGTGGGAATAGCTTTCTTAGGTCCTATTTGTGCCTCTAGTACTGAGAAGGACAAAGTGATGCTTTTTTGGTCCAGATGACCTTTGATGACCTTCAGCCATCTTGGATGATTTTGCTTAGCTTCCCATGCTGATATTGCAGAGTGGTCCCTGCCTGAACAGAGTGCCTGGGTCTGCTTACATTCAAGTTCAGCATCTATTCATACAATTCCTCTGTGGGGCAGGTGCTGTTGTAGGTGGGCGCTTGATCCTTAAATCTGTGATAGAAGTATTAACCTATCTCTCTAATTTATTTGACCACAGATTATTTAAAAAAAAAAGAATCTTTAAAGCCTAATAATGTCTCACAGATGCTGCTTTAGATTATACTTTAGTTGAATCCATTAGTCAAATCCTAAACTGTAATTCAATTTAAAGACTCTCTTTGTCTGTCAAGCCAAATGACCATAGGCAATTTTCACTTTCCTCATTCTGGTTTTAAAATATCCCAGAAAATCCTCCTAACCAAGCATGTCTGTTAAAGTAGGACTAGTACTCAGACAACTGGTTCCAGATTGTGGTATGAATGCCACATCTTCTGAACGTACATGTCACATAAGTCTTCATAAATTCTGGGATACCAACTGCCCAATTCTGACCTCTTTCTTTCCTGTAGTGCCTTCCTCCATTCTGGAGTTGGTGGATGATCACCATGCCTCTGGGGGAGGACAGACTGTGAGGTGCATGGCCAGAGGTGTCCCTCTTCCTGACGTTGAATGGATGATCTGCAAGGACATTAAGAAGTATGTAAAGCAGAGGTCTATTATTCCTCTGTACTCAGACTGCTCCCTACTTGACACAAAGGACTTCAAATGCCTGCTATTTGTTTGGCTGGCCCTTCTATGTATTTGCAATTCTTATTTAGCCTAAGGCTCATGCTACTCATAAACTATAAGGAAAGGCTCTGAATGTAGACTCCAGTGTCCAGTCCAGTGTGTGTGTGTGTGTGTGTGTGTGTGTTCATAAAGAGCTGTAGGGAGAAGACCCATGGCTTTCTTTGGTTCTCAAAAAGATGAATTTTAAGAACCACTGTCCCCAGAGGGTTTTTCATACTGCAGCCCAAAGTTTTTACATCATAATTCTTACTTGGTACACTTTGCTTTGGTGGCTAAAGTGGCATGTGAATCTAAATGAAAACAATTTCCTTGTGACCAGAGACTCCCTCTATTCTGCCTTACCTCTCTTTTGCTCTCCCTTTTTTTTTAAAAAAATGAGATAAGGTCTCTCTATATTTCAGGTAATCGTGGAGCTCAAACTCTTCTTTCCTTAGTCTCCTCAGTGCTGGGATTACAGGCATGTTCCACAGTACTTAGCTAGATCTTTAATTATTTTTAAATTAATGTATCTTAATTGAATAAAACAATGGGTTTCATTATGACATTTTTGTATATGTATCTAATGTATTTTGATTATAGTCCTGCTAACCCTCTTCATTTCCCTCTTCCTCTATCTTCTTAAATGGGCATGAGTGCTCTGGGTTTCCTCTTCCCCATGGTTACTGTTGTGTCCAGAAATCTGCTTCTCCCTAAAGGCTGAGATTCTTGGTCCTACCTTCCCCTAAGGCTAAGAAATGATGGCATGATGACTCTAGGTCTTAAAACTCAATCCAGGGCTCTCCCAACTCTACTGACACCTAAGAGGCCCTTCCCAGTGTGAGTGCTAGGAAGGGAGGGTGATAGATTTTTTTCAAGGATTAGATAGTTGGGATTGTCAAACAAGCTTGATGTTCAATTGCTCAGCTTGTTCATATGCTCAAGATTTAGAATCAGTGGTTTTCTCTTTATTGAATTATGTTGAGTTTCGCCCCCTTCACAAACAGTTAATTTCAGTTATTTAGTTGGGTGTGTACAAATGAATCTACTGCTCACATAACAAGAGAGACAACCTGCAGTATCTACAAGTGTAGGTCAAGAAATAGACAAGGTCACAGATGTGTTCTTCACAACTCCCAATAATTGGCTCTATTTTTATGTCCTTTTCCTCTCTAGATGTAACAATGAAACTTCATGGACATTTCTAGCCAACAATGTCTCTAATATTCTCACGGAGATCCATCCCCGAGACAAGAGTACTGTGGAGGGCCGAGTGACATTTGCCAAAGTGGAGGAGACCATTGCAGTTAGATGCCTGGCTAAGAATCTCCTTGGGACTGGGAACCGAGAGCTGAAGCTGGTAGCCCCCAGTAAGTTGCTCACCAGTCAGGACAACACCAGGCTATCAGCTGAGCCCTGCCTTCCTCAGGTGGACCCAAAGACCTAGATAGGGCCCTATAGAAATGAAGGTCCCAAGTTAAAAATTCCACTATGAGGGGCTGGGAAGGTGGCTTGCATGCATGAGGCCCTGGATTCCATTCCTCAGCACCACATAAGCAGAAAAAGCCGGAAGTGGCACTGTGGCTCAAGTGGTAGAGTGCTAGCCTTGAGCTGAAGAGCCGAGGGACAGTGCCCAGGCCCAGAGTTCAGGCCCCACAACCAAAAAACAAACAAAAAACAACACAAAGGTTCTGAATACCAGAACCTTCCTTGGAGATTCACTCACAAAGCTGCATTTTGGAGAAGCCCCTGAGAATTTTGCTTGTTTAATAATATAGTGACTGAGTTTCTAGTCTAAACATCCCTGTGTGTGAGGAGACACTTATTTCATTTCTCCTTATAACAGGTGGGACAGGTTGAATTCTTCTTTTTCTTCTTTTTTTAATGCTGGTCCTGGGGTTTGAACTCAGTGCTTGGGTGCTGTCCTTGAGCTAGTACTCTACTTCTTGAGTAGCTAGGATTATAAGTGTAAGCCATGGAGATAGATCTCAGTTTTAAAAAAAATATAATTTTATCATTATTAAGGAGCTGTACAGAGGGGTTACAATTCCATAAGTCAGTTAATGAGTACAGCTCTTCTTAGACAGTGTCACCCCTTCCCTTTCTCCCAGTTTCCCCCGTCTGTCCTTGTCCACCAGATGCATAGTTCATTTTATACATAGTATATATTGAATGCCATGACTTAAATAAATTGAATAAATGGAACCCAAAGGAATAGGAAAAAATATAATCTTTCAAAAAATAAGTTTTGTAATACAGCTTATGCAGTAGAAGTTTCTGCAAAATCTCTCTCATCGATTAGTCTTTATTGTTCCTAGTCATACTCTATTTAAGAGATGATACTTGGAAAGTATTGATTTCCTGGATTGAATTTGGCCCCTTACTTTTGCCAAGAGAGAGTTGTATGGTTTGGCAGGTGCAGGTGTTTGTTTGCAAGATGGTATTGTCTATTCCTCCAGTGAACAGACAATTCTCACACTTCCCCTCCACCACTGAGAAATATCCACCACCCCCTTACTGTGTATCTGCTGGAAAAATATCTACCATACCTATTTCTTTTTTGTCTCCCAGCCCTACGTTCTGAACTCACGGTGGCAGCTGCAGTCCTGGTACTGTTGGTGATTGTGATCATCTCACTGATTGTCCTGGTTGTCATTTGGAAGCAGGTAGGTATTTTCTCAGAGCATTGAACATCTTCAAAGCCAGTCAGAATGAGAATAGCAGCCATGTTCAGGGCTTGGCCCAGAGAAAGGGCCCAGGGATGCCAGGTAGAACAAACGGCATTGGTCCTTCCTCTGTCTCGTCACTGTCACTGCTGCTGCGATTGAGGATTTGGTGCCTTGAGATCTTTGATAACTTACCAACTTTCTGTTCTGGTTATTTACAGAAACCAAGGTATGAAATTCGCTGGAGGGTCATTGAATCAATTAGCCCCGATGGACACGAATATATTTATGTGGACCCAATGCAGCTGCCTTATGATTCAAGATGGGAGTTTCCGAGGGATGGACTCGTGCTTGGTAAGATACCACCTCCCAAGACTCAATTCTTGCTTGTATACCTTACTGTTTCCAGGCCTGGGTCACATTAAGGGATCTGAGCTTTGCTTTGTAAGGAGAATGGAACAAAAATTTTCTAGCAGAACAACTTTCATCTATTAAAAAAAATGGTGGCAATATGCCTCAAACTTAGGGCCTTGAGCTCTTGTTAGGCTTGTTTGCTCATGGCTGGTACAGGACCACTTGCATCCAGTAATGTACTCTGCTGGTTAATTGAAGATAGAATCTCTTAGATTTTTCTGCATAGACTGGCATCAGACCAGTCTTGGTGGTCCTCCATATAGACAAGATTACAGGCATGAGCCATTGGTGCCGAGCTAAATATTTCCATCTTGAAAATGAGTTGCTTGGAGATGAAGGCAGGGGTATTTAGGGATAGAACACATGCCCAGCCTTGGGTTCTACTCCCAACACTACAAAATAAGAATCTCAACTAGTTTGGTGGTATATATCTATAAACCCAGCCACTTGGGAGGTAGAGATCAGAAGAATCATAGCTCAAGTTCAGCATGGTAAAAATATTAGAGGCCCTCACCTTATCAAAAAAGCAACCATGGTGTTGCATGCCTATAATTCTAGCTATATCTGAGACAGAAGTAGGAAGATGGCAGTCTTCAGCTAGCCTAGTTAAAAATGTGAGAACTTGGCCAAAAAATAAAACAGAAAAATACACATATGGTTTAAGTGGTACCATGTCTGTCATAGAAGGCCCTAAGTTCAAACACTAGTACTGCCACACGCACATAAGGGGAGTTAATTGTATCAAAAAACCACATACCATAACAAATTACATCCAAAGAAAATTTTATAAAGGGAGAAGAGAATATGAGAAGCCTGACAAAAAGATCAACCTTTGAAAATAATCCAAATTAAAAAGGAAATTCTTTTTTTTTTTGGGGTCCGGTCGTGGGGCCTGAACTCTGGGCCTGGGCACTGTCCCTCAGCTCTTCAGCTCAAGGCCAGCGCTCTACCACTGGAGCCACAGCGCCACTTCCGGCTTTTTTCTTTTTGCTTATGTGGTGCTGAGGAATCGAACCCAGGGCCTCAGGCATGCAAGGCAAGCGCTCTACCACTGAGCCACCTTCCCAGCCCTATTTCACTCATTTCATATTTTGTCCTTTATACTTAGAATTAGGGGCTGGGAAAGTGGCTCAGTGGTAGAGCGCTTGCCTTGCATGCATGAGGCCCTGGGTTCGATTCCTCAGCACCACATAAGCAAAAAAGAAAAAAGCCGGAAGTGGCGCTGTGGCTCAAGTGGTAGAGCGCTGGCCTTGAGCTGAAGAGCTGAGGGACAGCGCCCAGGCCCAGAGTTCAGGCCCCACGACCGGACCCCCCCCTCCAAAAAAAAAAAAAAAAAGAAATGAATGAAATAGCTACAAAGTATACTTTGAACCAGTATAGAAAATTCTGGGCAGCCGGGCGCTGGTGGCTCACGCCTGTAATCCTAGCTACTCAGGAGGCTGAGATCTGAGGATCACGGTTCAAAGCCAGCCCGGGCAGGAACGACTGTGAGACTCCTATCTCCAATAAACCACCAGAAAACTGGAAGTGGCGCTGTAGCTCAAGTGGTAGAGTGCTCGCCTTGAACGGAAGAGCTGAAGGACAGCGCCCAGGCCCAGAGTTCAAGCCCCATGACCGACCAAAAAAAGAGAAAATGCTGGGGACCCATAAGGAATTCCTTGGATATGGAATACAAGATATAAAAATATACGTACATTTAAGATCAAAACAGAAAAATAGCTAAGTCAGCTTTTAAAGATTTAAAATATTTTCTTCCTGGGCTAAGAAGAATGCATGAAGTTCAAGGGAATTTTGTTTTTGTTTTTCAAATTACATTCTGAACGATTGAAAACAAGACAAAGGGAAATAAAAGTTAGAGCTCGAGGATGTTCACAATGAATAATCTCACCAAGTACAGTTATATTTTAATTACCTGCCTACATGTCTCATTCCAGAACACTGCAAGGTGTAGGTTTAAATAACTCTCTAAGAATAAGTCATCCTTGTGGCTTCCAATTTCAAATGCTTATACTTAAGCTTTCTTTATTATATTTTTACCACTGTTTCCCAAAAAGGGATGAAGCGCTTATAGAAGTTAAAAAGTAATAAAGTATGGGGTGCAGGGGAGGCAAGGCCAAACATCTCTGACAGGCACTGCTTTGGGTTTGTGTTTCTGGGTGAGGTCAAGGTGTTTGTAGGGGTGACTTATATGGGTACAGGTGTCAACAGCAGACCCAGGGAGTGGCCAGTGCTGGCTCTGAGTGTCCCTTATGAGCTGGGTCATTCCCTACCTGGGCTGCACATGGTCAAAGTTGGCCCCTGGAATATGATGGGAGCTTTAGGGTGGGCTTCACCTTCTCTTTTCTTTTTCTCTGCATGAGGGAAAGGCTTGTTCTCAGGGCATGCTTATAGCCCAGGGTTGAGGCTCTCTGTCAGAGGCAGCCACAGCTTGAAGCTTTCATTTGTGCATTCCATGCAATCAGTGACTGTTCTGAAGTATTGCCAGTGGTTAAGGATTTATGTTATGCAAAGGATGCTTCTGTTTGCACGCAGAAAACAGAAGGGTAGAGAACCAGGGTATTTGGGTGGAAGCCACAGAAGCAAGTGCAGAAGAGCCCAGGGCCTGGCCCGCACCTATAGCTGGGAGCCAATGTTCGCACAGGGAGGGCCACCCCTCCTTTCTCCCGTCTGTTTTCCTTTCCATTGCAAATGTTATTTGACAAAAACAATTACACTAATTTCCTCCCCTGTGGGCTCTATTCTCTTTCTGACATGATGACTTGGAGGAATAATTAGGCTTACTCAATATGGGCAAAACACCCATTCAGCGGGGTACCTCTGAGTGCTGGCTGCACTCAGAAGCTGAGGCAAGGCCTGGGGCTGGCGTGTGTTCACTGTTCCGCTTGTCTGCAGGTCGGATCTTGGGGTCTGGTGCATTTGGGAAGGTGGTTGAAGGAACAGCCTATGGATTGAGCAGGTCCCAGCCTGTCATGAAGGTGGCAGTGAAGATGCTCAAACGTAAGTGCTGCTGGCTGGTCCTATTTTGAACAGACAGCTACTAGACAGTAAATTTAGGATTGCAACTGGGTTCATTTGACTGTGTGTGTGTGTGTGTGTGTGTGTGTGTGTGTGTGTGTGTGTGTGTGTGTGTGTGTGTGTGTGTGTGTGTGTGTGTGTGTATGCACATGCACATGTGCTAATACTGGGGTTTGAACTTAGGGCATTGCACTCTCCCCTGGCTTTTTGGCTAAAGGTTGGTGCCCTACCACCTGAGCCACACCTACACTTGTTTTTGTTGGTTAATTGGAGATAAGAGTCTCATGGACTTTTCTGCCCTGGCTGGCTTTGAACTATGATCCACAGATCTCAGATTCCTGAGTAGGTAGGATTAGAGGCACGAGCCACTATTGCCTAGCTGGGCTCTAGGTTTTATATGTATTTAGATTATTTGTCGATGAGGCTGTTTTCTTTTTGATTGCTATTGTCACTCATATTTTTGGAAATCAGGAGTTGTTATTTCTCTGGTAGCTTCTTTTTCCCCTAAAGACTATGGAGTAGTCATTAGAGTCTAGGCTGAGTGGATCTTCTGCTCTTCTCCTAGACTCATCAATAGAGTCACAATTTTTCTGTGAATGAGAAGTAGGTAGTTCAGTTAAACTGATACATGATTTATTTCTTCCACAGCCACAGCCAGATCCAGTGAGAAACAAGCTCTCATGTCTGAACTGAAGATAATGACTCACCTGGGACCACACTTGAACATCGTGAACTTGCTGGGAGCCTGTACCAAGTCAGGTAGGCTCCCTGACCTGCGATGAGAGTTGGCATGAGTTGTGTGAATTGGCAATTCTCCCCTCCTCCCCTCACCACCCATTCTTTAGTGGAGTCCATTAAATTGATAGAAACTCACTGCTTTGGAGCAAAAGCTCTTGACTGTCCACACACAGCAATTCGTGGCCTTTCTGTTCCTCTCCTAACTGATTTTGGTCTCCACAGGCCCTATTTACATCATCACAGAGTACTGCTTTTATGGGGATTTGGTGAACTATTTGCATAAGAACAGGGACAGCTTCCTGAGCCACCACCCAGAGAAACCAAAGAAAGAGCTGGACATCTTTGGATTGAACCCAGCTGATGAAAGTACACGAAGGTGAGTGTGAAAAGAGACACTGCTGTGCCATTGACTTACAAACCTCACAAATGAAGAAAACCCGTGTCCTTCGAGATTCTGTGTCATAGGTAGCAAGACTTAGATTCTAGACCGTCTCTGTTCAGTCATCCATGACTGCGTGGATGGATGCATGATGTCTGCAGGTGTTTTGGACATCATATGAGAAAGCTGTGCTGACAGTCTTGAATGAGAATCAGAGTGAGAGTTGAAATCATTTGAGGAGCCATTCTGCTATTTATATATAATCCATTAGGATGTGTAAAATATATCTGTGGTCAGCGATGCCTGAGTTTTTATAGCTTGAGGATCTCCAAGCTTGAGCTATTGCTCCTTGTTGACTTGGGCCTATAAATTAAGCCAATGAGAGTGTTTCCAAACAGAAACTTGTAAGTGATTGTAATGATCTATGCATATGAAGTCCTGTAAGATCAGAAAGGACAATGAATATACTTTGTATTACATTACTTAATGGACACCAGTTATTTATTTATTTATTTATTGGGTGGTAGGATTGTCTGCCCAAGCCATGGGGCCATATGGTTTGAGTTGAAAGATAGAAAGAGTAATGACAGAGTTAATGTCATGGATTTCCTCAAGTTTTCAATATGGTGGACTTAACACTCTATAAGTCTTTGGGAACAGAACCCTCTGTCTTCAGTGTGGTTCTCCAGGAAGTCTGTGTTCCTGCTGACAGGAAGTGTGGAGGAGCAACACTGAAGACAATTTAGGCACATCAGTAAAGAAGGATTGTGGAAGCAAACATTTGTGGAACCCAGATATTCCCGCAACGTTTCCCACCTTTGTCAATGGGCTCCCTTCTTTGGAATGTTCAGGAAGGTGTTTCCTTGCCCAAGAATTCATTATGCTGGCAAAACCTCTTTACTCTCATAGAATAGCTGGATTTGAGATGACTGTGTATTTGTGCAATTGATTCCTGCTCATCTTCCAGCCTCAACCACTTCATGTGAAGGGTACATACTGATTTTGCTTCTGCTCTACCTGTGACCCCCATGCCTTTCTCAGTATCTGCATATTATAGGTACCCAAATCAGCATCTTCTGATCCATCCGCTGGGTGCCCTCTCCAGAGGTCACCCTGGATAACATTGCTTCATCTGTTTTTACAGCTATGTGATTTTATCTTTTGAAAACAACGGTGACTATATGGACATGAAGCAAGCTGACACCACTCAGTATGTTCCCATGCTGGAAAGAAAAGAGGTGTCTAAATACTCAGACATCCAGAGATCGCTGTATGATCGGCCAGCCTCCTATAAGAAGAAATCTATGTTAGGTAATAGTGTCTTTACTCACTCTGGGTATTCTGATTGTCTGGTGGTTGAATATGATGTTAAGACTTCTCAGAGGAAGTTGAACAAGGATGGTGGAACTCATGGAGCCCATGGTACCTATGCAGGACGGGCTGGGTGTGTGGCTCAGAAAGAATACCTATCATTGCAAAAATAACTAAGTAAACAAATAGATTCATGTGATCTATTTCTTAAACTTTAAATGTAATTAATTTTTCTCCCATCACTCATGGGGCTTGAACTCAGGGCCTGGGTGCTGTTCCTGAGCTCTTTCGCTCAATGCTAGCGCTCTACCACTTTGAGCCACAGAGCCACTTCTGATTATCTGGTGATTAATTGAGATAAGAGTCTCCAGACTTTCCTGCCTGGAATGCTTTGAACTGTGATCCTTAGATCCTCAGATTTTAGCCTCATGAGTAACGAGGATACAGGCATGAGCCACTAGTGCCCAGCAAAATTTATTTTTAATACGTCTTTCTTTTTTCTTTACATGTCTTTTTACATTTTTAACAAATGAAAATTGTTTTTTAAATGCCCTTGGTAAAGTTGAATGCTGGAAATCTTATTTTTTTGTTATTGTGGTTTTAAAATTTTTAAAAATTGTTATTATAAAGGTGATACACAAAGGAGTTGCAGTTACATAAGTCAGGTAAAGAGTACATTTCCTTGTGAACAATGTCACCTCTTCCCTCCATTTTGTGTGTGTGTGTGTGTGTGTGGCTGTGTGTGTACTTTTCTCAAGCTTTATATGATTCTGCTATGTGTGCAGTAATTCTTGCTTTTAGCTTTGCTAGCATCCAATGTGGTAGATGCTGTAGAGTAGACAACTTGAAGTTGTATTTCCTGACAAGTTTTTGCATTGACTGTTGTTTGAAGACAGGTCTGTCTGTTTTCAAAACAGAGGCGTATGTGGTGTGGTTGGAAGTATTTATGAACTCCAGGGTAGTTACCTAGCTGGAGGCATACCAGAGGGAGCAATGTTGAGCTGTCAGGAAAAGTGATTTGGAAATCACTAAGGTGCTCTGAATGCTTCCACGAGCAAGGTACAGCTCATTACAAAGAAAAAAAAAGAAAAGAATGTGCCTGTTTTGCAAAGCTCAGTACATAATACTATTTTCCATTTCTCCAGTTCCAAGTTCCAGTCATTTTACCTTGCCAAACGGGTGAACTTCCAAACACTTTTTAGTTTACCCAGTGAGAGCCATCAGAACCAGCATTTCCTCTCCCCTCCCATATGGTTAAAAATAGTTTATATTACTTCCTAGACCGCACTGTGGACTGAGTCATGCTCGAGCCCAGGCCCTGTTGGCAGGCAGACCATGGTTTTCTGGCCTTCCTGTATATAGCTGGCTGAAAAAAAATGTGAATGGTGAGGGCTGCTTTTCACTCCCCTGAAAATTCTCAGAAAGGATTGAGAACTGCTGGCTGAGATTGCCGCCTTCTTCGAAAACCCTGGGGCCTGTCCAGATGGCATGAGTTGGGAAAAGTAGATTTGTTGCACACAAAAGGAAGTCCATGCGAAAGGATCTGTAATGGTAGTTTGCTGCGTCTTCTGTTTAATAGACAAATTATAACCACAGTACCCTGAGGGCAGCTTTAAAAAGAAAACCAATCAACCCCTAGAAACTTGGTCTTTGTGCCAATAGTAAGGGCTTGAACTCGCATTCCTGTTTGGCTTTTTTTGCTGAAGTTGGTGCTCCTGAATCAATTGAATCACACTTCTCTTTCTGGATTTTTGGCGGTTAATTGGAGATTAGAGTCTCATGGACATTTCTGCTTGAACTGGCTTCAAACTATGATCCTCAGAGCTCAGTCTTCTCAGGAGCTAGGATTATAGGCATGAGCCATTGGCTTCAGGCCAGAACATTTTTTTCAAAGTGTCTTCATTTGTGATGGAAAAATTTAGTGTGTATGTGTGTGGGTTTTCAATATGGCTGAGGCGACGGCTAAGGTAGAAAAGAGAAATCTAAGGGGCAAACAACAAAAAAATTCTGTGTGTGGAGATTGGTTTAGATTGGGCCTAGGACTATAAGTGTAAACATGTGTGTGCATACACAGCCCAGTATGTTTTTCTGCATGCAGGTTCAATGTTGGTTATCCCAAAATGCCTGAAACCAGCAGTTTTGGATTTTTTTTTAGAATTTGGAATGTTTACCTCTACATAATGAGGTATCTTGGGAATGGGAGTCAGGTCTAAATACAAAATTCATTTATGGTTCATACATGCCTCATGCACATTGCCTGATGATAATTTTATGCAATATTTTTACTGTGTCTGTGTTTTGACTGTGAGCTGTCACATGAGGTCTGCTGTGGATTTCTAAAATTTTGGTGTCACATTGGCATTCAATAAGTTTTGGATTTTTGGAGCGTTTTGAATTTCAAATGTTGGGGCTAGGAATACTCAACTTGAATAAATTTCTCTTTGAAGAGAGACACGTTTTGTTATTTATCTGTTTATTTACTTATTCATTTGCAATGCTGGGATTGAAACCAGAGCTTCATGCCTAGGCAAATGGCTCTACCATTGAGCTGTATCCTCAGCCCCTCCCTTGGCATAGTGTATGTATTTCCTTGTGAGGTATAAAAACTCTTAGGAAGTTCTTGGGGAAGTGGTCTTTGGATGAGCCTTTGCAGGTTGCAATCCAGCCCCGTGTGGGTTTGGAAAGCAGGGAGGTCCCATGCCGTCCTCCAGCGTCAATGCTTTTCATTCTATTTCTGCAGACTCGGAAGTCAAAAACCTCCTCTCAGATGATAACTCAGAAGGCCTTACTCTGTTGGACTTGCTGAGCTTCACGTACCAAGTGGCCCGTGGAATGGAGTTTTTGGCTTCCAAAAACGTAAGTTCAACAAGGCACAGACCTCTTTAGAGGTGACCAGTGAAGGTTGTGTGGAAAGGGACTCTAGGGGGTGATCTTGAGTAGCAGGGGTAGTAACTGCTTCTCACCTACTTCTCTTGATTTCTTCCTGTAAGCAGAACTGGGAGCTGTACTCTAGAGCTCTAGGGCCATTTGGAGGGTTAGAGGGGAATGCTGGCTCTTCATGCCAGAACCCCCTCCTGCAGTGCATGCTGAGTAGCTGACTTAGAGTGGCCAGTCTGGCGAGAGTGGGTCTGGCTATAGCTGGGTTGACCTTACCCTTCCCATACAGTGTGTCCACCGGGACCTGGCTGCACGCAATGTCCTTCTGGCACAAGGAAAAATTGTGAAGATCTGTGATTTTGGCCTGGCCAGAGACATCATGCATGATTCCAACTACGTGTCAAAAGGCAGCGTATGTACCATCCCATATTTGGTCCCCTCAATCTTGGAAATCATGTGTTGCTTGTTGCTGTTCATGCCTGTCATTTTAAGAGTATAAAGCCTCATGAGTTGGCTCCAGAAAGTCAATTGAAAGAGCCTAGACTTAACAGGTGGTTGGGTGTAGGTACCAACTAGCTCTATCCTGCTCTAGGGCTGAGGTTTGGGGTTAGTTCCTTGTCTATTCTATGCCCCAGTTTCTTTCTCTATGGCACATAAAGTGCTATACAGGGTGTCTGGCACACAGTAAGTTTTGCCCTTATTAATATAAATTGTGTATCTGTGTGTACAAGCATGCATTTCCAAGGAGATATCTCTAGTTATTAAACTTCAATAGATTTTCAAGAGGATTTTAAGGCTTTATTATTTATTTATTTTTGTGCTGGTCCTAGGGCTTGAACTCAGGGCCTGGGTTCTGTCCCTGAGCTTTTTTTTTCCCCTCAAAGCTAGTACTCTTAACAGTACTGGCTTTTTGGTGGTTACTTGGAGATGAGTCTCTTGGACTTTCCTATCTAGGCTGGCTTCGAACCGTGATCCTCAGATCTTAGTGTCTTGAGTAGCTAGTATTACAATTGTGAATCACCAGTAACTGGCTAAATTAATGGATCTTAGAGACACAGTTGTCATATTGTCATTGGAGGATCCACTAGATCTATCTCTCCATCCCTTTCACCTGTAAGCAGATGAAATGGCTCAGGATACACCTGCCACCTATAGGTTCAATCCCTGCCACTCCACTCATGGTGAGGTAGCTCAGTGAAGATTGGACAATGGCTTCAATCCAGACTCTGGCCTCTGGTTCTTCTGTGGCCGTGACATTAGCTGTGACATTTTCTAGCCCTGAACAATTAACTGAACTCTCTCACCTATTCACCCAAGGTAATGTATCTCTATTATCTGCCTAGCCATCTTGGAGGCTGAAGGATGCTAATGTGTCTACTTTATGCTGTTTAGTATTTCTTTTTTTTTTTTTTGGGTCCGGTCATGGGTCCTGAACTCTGGGCCTGGGTGCTGTCCCTCAGCTCTTCAGCTCAAGGCTAGCGCTCTACCACTTGAGCCACAGCGCCACTTCCGGCTTTTTTCTTATGTGGTGCTGAGGAATCGAACCCAGGGCCTCGAGCATGCAAGGCAAGTGCTCTACCACTGAGCCACCTTCCCAGCCCGCTGTTTAGTATTTCTACTGAACCAATTTCTAAAAGAGGCTGCAAAATTTTTATTTTAATAGCTGACTCTTTGTAGTGGTGGAAAACTTACACATTGCCTTATTTAATTAATTTATTGTTAATAAATTCAAACTAGGGTTTGAACTTAGTCCCTTGAGCTTGCTAGGTTGGTGTTCTATTACTTGAGCCCCCACCTTCAGCCTGGCTTTTGGTTGGTTAATTGGAGACGGAGTCTTGTAGACATTTTTGCCTGGGGTGGCCTTGATCTAAGATCCTCTAGACCTCATTCTCCTGAATGCATCAGATCTACCAGTTGTCAGGTTCTGAGAGCATACTCACGAACAACATGAGAAACACAGTGTGAGTAAGATTGTTAGCAGCGGTCATTGGCAGTCTGAAGAGGACACTTTTCCATTGCACTGCTTCAGATGACCAGTGTATAGTCTGAGAGGTTAAACTGCTCCCTCTTTTTCTGCAGACCTTCCTGCCTGTGAAGTGGATGGCCCCTGAGAGCATCTTTGACAACCTCTACACCACCCTGAGTGATGTCTGGTCTTATGGCATTCTGCTTTGGGAGATCTTTTCTCTTGGTATGAGCCTGACTTCTGATTGCTTGGGTTGCTCTGGAGCAGCACTGGAAGGGAAATATTTGACCCAGATGCAGGATAGAAGTAATGCTGCTCGCTATAGTCATTTTACCCTCACCCTCTATCCCAGTATTGACACTTACCTGGATCCTAAGGAAAGAATAAGGCATGATTGTGATCTCTTGGTGGTTCAAAAAGGATAGCTAGACTTAAAATTGTAATATGAGTTCAGATAGAAGGAGAGAAGGAGCCTGTGTTGGAAGGTTTCAAAGACGGAACTGAACTTGACCTGACCTTGGCCATGAACATATCAGTCATACCTCCCTGGTATAACCTCCTTTTCTAGATCCCTTCCTCTGTGGAAGATCATCCCAGTTTGTGGCTTAATGGAGTCTTGTACTTCTTCAAAGCAGTAATTACCTAGACATTTCAAGCTCCAACTTGAATTTTGTATGGGGTGTGTGTGTGTGTGTGTGTGTGTGTGTGTGTGTGTGTATGTGTGTGTGTGTGTGTGTGTATGTGTGTGTGTGTGTGTGTGTGTATGTGTGTGTGTGTGTGTGTGTGTGTGTGTGTGTATGTGTGTGTGTGTGTGTGTGTATACTGAGGCTGGCCCTTAGCTTTTTCACTCAAGGCTGGCACTCTACCACTTGAGCCATACCTCCACCTCTGGCTTTTTGGTTGTTACTTAGAGATAAGGGTCTCATATAGACTTTTCTGTCTAGGCTGGCTTCAAACTTGGATCCTTAGATCGTGGTCTCTTAAGTAGCTAGGAAAACAGGTGTGAGATCCTGGTGCCCATCCCAACTTGGAATTTTACTGAAATGATTTGAACATGTCTGGTGAAAATGAGTTTCTTGCCTTTGAGGATTCAGAATTTCTCCTTGCTTTTTTTGTCGTTTGTTTGTTTTGTTTGCTTGGGTATATAGCCCCAGTGGTCAGAAGCACAGAGAACTGTTTCAGTGCTTCTTTTCTAAAGATGTACAATTTTGGCTGAAGGTGAGGCCTAGTTAAATTTAAGATCTAAGCAGCCTTCTGAGAGAGAACGAGGAGATCATAGCACTTAATTTCCTGGAAAGAACCAGGACATCAGAGCTTCATGATTGTCCCTGCTCCCTTGTGTATTCTGTCACTCAGTATGCCAGCGGTGTGTGGCTCATGTGTTCACATGGAAGCCCTTTGTCATCCTGGTTGCTGTTTTCCTTCACTTTTTAGGTGGCACACCCTACCCCGGCATGATGGTGGATTCTACTTTCTACAATAAGATCAAGAGTGGGTACCGGATGGCCAAGCCTGATCATGCAACCAGTGAAGTGTGAGTTCTCTCCCCATCTGTGGGCCTATGTCTCAAGGGCACACGGGGTGAGAGGGGCCCTGTACTCTCTTCCCGTGCCCACTCTAAGCTCAGTGCCTCTCCTCCAGCTATGAGATCATGGTGCAGTGCTGGAACAGCGAGCCTGAGAAGAGACCCTCCTTCTACCACCTGAGTGAGATAGTAGAGAATTTGCTGCCTGGCCAATATAAAAAGGTTTGTCTGGGCCCATTACAGTAGGCTAAAGGCCATGGGGAAAGGGAGGAGAGAAGAGCTGGTATTTGTTCCTGTTTGAAAGGAGAATTTTCAAAGGAGGGCATAGATGGTGTGTTGCTGCCTGGGGCTTCCTAGAGTGCTCCATGGTCCCTAGTAGCGATGATGAATGGGAACACTTCCCTTCCCACAAGGTTCCCGTTTCAGGTCACAGGCATGACACCTGTAAGCCCTTGATTTTCCAGATGTTTGAGTTGCTGGAGCTACTTTGCGGTTAAAAGTCTCAGGATATCCAGGGCCTTTATTAAATCGCTAATTTGAATGCACTCAAATCCACAAGAAATTGACTTTCGTCGGCTGACTGGAAGGGACAGCCCAGCTGTTATCTGTAACTCCAGCTGGTTTTCCGTGACATAGGAAGCATTGTTTAAAGGAACATATGTAATTTCATGGACCCAGGCAGGAGACACAAATGAACGGGAACAAGTTTCTGCTGAAGCCTTGAGAAGCAAACCCAAGCGAACTTGTATCTCATTTTAGATTCTCATTAGGCTCTGTGAAGGCTATTCACACTTCCTGCTTCTCTTCCTTCTCACTGGAGTACAGCATGAGGGGAGGTTATCCTGGACCCTCCCTTGAGCTGAGCTAGAATATAAACACTGAGTCTGTTGCTCAGTTCAGAGCCTGACTCTCACAAATGAGGCAGGAAGAGGCAGAAAGTAATTAGCTTAGCCTGGTCAAAGACACTGATTGATGGAGATGTGTTTTGGGCAGGGACTGAAACTATTGTTGAAATGTGTGTGTGCGTTTTCATATGAAGTGCTAGACTTGCTTAGTATTTGGGACTTGTGAAGGTGTAGGGTATTAAGTCCCCAATGGGAGACTACCTCCCTTTCCTTGGGGACCAGTGTGAGCCCTGGAAACTCACTGTGATTGCTTCAGAAGGCTCCGTGCTTGTCTTGGTGGAAGGCCCACGATCATCACAACTGTGTTAGAGAAGGGATACTGCTATCTGAAGATTTGTGGGTAGTAATTCCCTACCACCAGCTATCTCTCCATCATGTCCCACATTTCTGGGGATGATTAACATACGACTCTCCTTCCGTTGTCTAAATCCCACATGTTTGTGGGATATGTTGGCGCGTATAGTTTTTGAGCATCCACATCGTTATGACAAGTCAGTCAGTAACCCTTGATTATCAACATGTGTCATAAATGCTTACAGAGCTATGAAAAGATTCACCTGGACTTCCTGAAGAGTGACCATCCTGCTGTTGCTCGCATGCGCGTGGACTCGGATAATGCATACATTGGTGTCACCTACAAGAATGAAGAAGACAAGCTGAAGGACTGGGAGGGGAGCCTGGATGAGCAGAGACTGAGTGCGGACAGTGGCTACATCATCCCTCTCCCCGACATCGACCCTGTTCCTGAGGAGGAAGATCTGGGCAAGAGGAACAGGCACAGGTAGATGTGGGTGGCTACTCCGGCTGCTGCCTGTCTTCCCTGCTGCAGCCTGAAGGGGAGACACAGGTGATGGATAACATTGTCACACCTGGGTGGTGAACTGCCCTTGAGCCCCCAGAAGCTCCACCCCTGTGTGTGTGTGTGTGTTGGGAGGTGGAGGTGGTAGAGAGTAATGCTTCTCTGGAAGAGAACTCTGCTCTGAGTTATAACTACTGATCCTCAGTGATCCCCGAATCTTTACCTCCCAAGTAGTTAGGATGACAGACTTGAGCTACTTCTGATTCTCGCTCAATCTTTTGAAATGAAGTAGGAAACTAAGCTACTTCACCCCCAGGATCCAGCACACATGTCCTAAGAGTTAAGAATACTCTTCTGCATAACCCTAGTATTGTGATCAACATACCAGAAAATTCAACTGTTTCCTGCTTTCATCTGATATCTAGGCTTTATTTGAATCCAGGTATGAGTTTAAATAATAATGGCTTGCTAGGCACGGGTGGCTCATGCCTGTAATCCTAGCTACTTAGGAGGCTGAGATATGAGGATTGCAGTTAGAAGCCAGCCTGGTCAGAAAAGTCCCTGTGAGACTCTTCATTTTCAATTAACCACTTAAAAACCCAAAGTGGCACTTTGGCTCAAGTGGTAGAGTGCTAGCCTTGAGCACAAAGGGGCTCAGAGACAGTGCCCAGGCCCTGAGTTCAAGCCTCACAACTGACCAAAAAAAAAAAAGAAAAAAGAAAAAGAAAAAAAGGCTCACATTTATCGAATATGTATGTATTTCATAGTTATTACCTTATTTAATCATCTGAACAAGTACATTGTTAGGCATTATTGTCACGCTACATTATAGGCTGGGAAACAAGGTCATGTTCTGGGGGTTGTGTCTCATGTACGAAGTCCATTCTAGACCTAAGGCTTTCTTACTCTAGAATTCCCCCCTTTCAGCCAGTGTTTGAGTAATCAGCTTTGGCCTTGGAGTTACCAAGGACACTAGGTAATGAGAAGTGGGAGGAAGTTGCTCAGGCGAAATCATGAGCACACAATCTGCAGACTCAAGAAGTTCTGGATAGAGCAAGGGCTGGTGTGGATGCATTTACAACCGATTTCTCTCCTGTGCTTTCCCTTCCCCACGCCTTTGCATCAGCATGATTTTTCCTTCCACTATGACTGGGTAGGTCATGAAAAGTTGTTGTAGCTGGTTAGCCACTTGGATTAAAAAAAATCAAAACTCATAAAACAAAGAAAGTCTTGCAATAAAGGGAAGAAAGGTGAGGTGGAAAAATGGCCTGGGTACCTTGCTTTCCACCGGCCCTGTGCAGCCATGGGGATGGGCAGCTTCATGGCAAACTTGCCACCCACACAGCCTGGGTTTGAATGTAAAAAGGATGTTTCAGGAAGAGCTCCTTTGCCTAGCTTCCCTGGAAGTGTGCCTAGAGTGTAGTAGGTCTGTATGTGGCCTGAACTTCTCTTTTTCTCCTTGGCAGTTCACAAACTTCAGAAGAGAGTGCCATTGAGACAGGTTCCAGCAGTTCCACCTTCATTAAGAGAGAGGATGAGACTATCGAAGACATCGACATGATGGATGACATTGGCATAGACTCCTCAGACTTGGTGGAGGACAGCTTCCTGTAATGGGCGGGAAGTATTTTGGAGGTAGCTTCCTTCTATTCCTGGAGCCACTTTTGGATCTCTGAGAAAACCACTTTATTGCAATGCAAAGGTTGAGAGGAGGACTTGGAGGGTATACTGGGAGGTTTCCAGCCAAGAGCTGCAGGGAGCCTTGTAAATCTGAATGAATGGAATACTTTGGAATGAACTTCTGTGTTGCCTTTTGCAGTGTGTCAGTAGCATCTCAGTGGTGTGTGAAGTTTGGAAACAAATGGACAGGGGAGGAGAAAGCCTCAAAAGACTTTTGTGTTTCCAGGGCATTGGTGAGATTTCTGTGTATACAATTTGTCCTGCAACAAAACTCTAGCATTGTAATTATGTAAATAACTAACCAAGGATGAGCTTAGATTTGTATGAACCTATCTCCTTTGGACTTCTGAAGAGACCACTCAATCCATCCATGTACTTCCTTCTTGAAACCTGGTATCAGCTGCTGTTGAACTTCCATGTGAAGTGCATGCAAAACCACTTTTTGAGCGTTTAAAGGTACTGGTACTATCACATTTGGTAACTTTTTTTCCTGTTAGTGATAAAAGAGATAAGCAATAACAATTAACCAACCTTTTTAAAAATAGATTTGGGTCATTTAGAAGCCCAACAATTCATTTGCATATTGTAACCTACATTTATAATACTACTACTGTTATCAATAATGCTGAATATGTAATATGTAACATGATTTCCCTACAGAGAAAGCACAATTTAGGAAAAAAACCACCTTACTAAGTAGGTAACAAGTTTGACAGTTTTTGACATTTATTTTAAATAACCTATATTTCTCTATGAAATATGATAATAGCTTTAGCAGATTAAATTTAGTAAACATAGCAAGCAAAGTATAAGTAGTGTTGTCCAGAAAATCAAAGTTTTTTAATTATGTACTAAATAGATTTCCTAATCCATTGTACTAAACACAGTTAATGACCTCTGAGTAATGGGATTAGGTGCAAACACAACCCCAGAAGCTGAAATGTTCTCAAAGTAAAACCATGAGCCTGTGTTCTGTGGGACTCTATGCTGTGACCCTGTAAGCAATTGGAAGCGTCAGCAGAAAAACTGGCTGTGTGGGGGTTTCTTTTCCTGCCCAGTGATAATTTTGGTAGATTGAAGGACATGTATCCTTTAAATCTATGAACCTTAAGAGTCGGAAGGATGCCCTCACATCATGTCCATTCTTTCCTCTCTTACCTCAGAGGAAGAGTTGGCAACCCCAAGTCCATACCGGTGCTGTTCAGTGAAGACCCTGTGAGTGTTAGCCCACAGTTTGCTGTCAGTTAGAATCCTTAGATTCTGGGTTGCCTTTCAAGAGATTGTGAATGACTTGAATCTGAGGGAAACAGGAACCTCAATTTTTATGAACTCCCTGGCTTAGGCTACAGGTTGCCGTGGTGGTATGGGTGAGGAGGGGAGGAACAAGACAATAAGAACTTGAAATTTGGAATTGAAGTAGAAGTTAAGCCCTAGAGGAAACCTACAATTTAAGTCCTTGGCTTCAGGTCAGTGACATTTAATACCAAGCAATTGCTACTCTTAATTTCACAGCCGGGTGATGTCTTGGTTTCGGTATGTCTTCCCAAAGTATAAGACAGAGTAAAGACACTACTTCCCATGGCATGAACTTGTCCACCCTGAAGCAAAGCATGGATGAAAGGGATGTAACTGTGTGCCAAGTCTCTGTATTGCAGGTCAATATTTTGGTGAAAATGATGAATTTTCCTGATGTTTTAGATTCAGAATGGCTGATGGATTGTCAAGCTGCTTAGTGTGGGTTCATTGGCATTCTTTGCAATGTGCTTAATTGCTGCCACCCTATGAATGAAACATGGGCTGTGATTGCTGCAATCACTCTGTGCTTCCGGCAGGTGATGCTTTGCAAAAAACAGAAGCAATAACAAGGTACTTGACAACCTACTGGTGTAATCTCAATGCAAGCCACCGACTTTCTTACCTTCCTCTCTCGTAGGAAGTGTGAAGACTGAGCCAGATTAGCCAATTAAAAAGGAAAACCTGACTAGGTTCCTTAGAGCCAATTAGACTTGAAATACATTTGTGTTTCTAGAATTCCAGCTCAAGCATTCTGTTTATCATCCACTCTCCCTCATACAGCCTTATTTTATGGGTGCTTGGCATTCTGATATTCTGAATCTTGCATGACACCTGTGGGTCCTGGACGAAGCTTCTCAGACCAGCAGCTTCCAGTCAGTCCTAACATTCCCAACCAAGATTATGTGGATTGCATTCAAACAAACAGACAAACAATATCCTAGATGCATTGTCTTTTTTGCTTTCTTTCAAAATCCCAGAAGAAAATTTGCTAATCCTTTCTGCTTTCTATTTTTATGATGACAATCAAAGCTGGCCTGAGAAACGCAATTTGTGACTTTCTAAATGATCAATGCGGTCCTTAAAACGTGGTCTGCCAACCTGTACAAAATGGTCCTATTTTTTTGTGAAGCGGGACGGAAGATAAAATGATGTTATACATCAATATGTATATATGTATTTCTATATAGACTTAGAGAATACTGCCAAACATTTATGACAAGCTGTACCACTGCCATTGTTTATATATTTTTTTAACTGTGATATTCCCCACAGGCACATTAACTGTTGCACTTTTGAATGTCCAAAATTTATATTTTAGAAATAATAAAGAGAAAAATACTTAACATGTTCCCAAAATGGTGGTGTGGTGAATGTGTGAGAAGGTCTGACTTGATAGGGAAAGTCTACTGATACAAAATGTATTGCAAATGCCCCTGTTCCTTTTCAACTAAAAACCTGTAAATGAAGATCTTTATATTTCAATAAATGATACAACTTAAGTAAATGATACAACTTAATAAATGATACAATTTAAGTTATGCTGAGGTTACCACATATTTTGTTTTCAGTTTAGTCATAAAATTAAAGTAATCCTGTTCCACTTCCTTTTTTTTTTTTTTTTTTGCTGGTCGTAGACCTGAACTCTGGGCCTGGGCGCTGTCCCTCAGCTCTTCAGCTCAAGGAGAGTGCTCTACTGCTTGAGCCACAGCGCCACTTGTGGCTTTTTCTGTTTATGTGGTGCTGAGGAATCGAACCCAGGGCCTCATGAATGCAAAGCAAGCACTCTACCACTGAGCCACCTTCCCAGCCCTCCACTCCCTTTCTTAGCAATATTTCAGTAGTACCCTATATTATGCCATTTTTATTTATATTTTTATTAGGTAGTTACACAAAGGAGTTACTATTAATCAGATCAGCCTATCTATCTATCTATCTATCTATCTATCTATCTATCTATCTATCTATCTATATTTATCTATCTATCTATCTATCTATCTACTTTTTTTAACTGGTCCTGGGGCTTGAACACTGGGCCTGGGCTCTGTCCCTGAGCTCCTTTTGCTCAACAATAGCACTCCACCACTTGAGCCATACCACCACTTCTGGTTTTTTCTGTGATTAATTGGAGATAGAGTCTCACGGACTTTCCTGCCTTGGCTGGCTTCAAACTTTGATCCTCAGCTCTCAGCCTCCTCTGTAGTTGGATTACAGGTGTGAGTCACTGATGCCTCACTATTTTTGTTTGTTTGCTTTTTTTTGTTGTTTTGCATTTTTGGTGGGTTTTGTTTTGGAGGGGGGAAAATGTGATCTTTGTGTTCCTTCCTTCTGCCTCAGCCTCCAGAGTGCTGAGGTTACAGGTGTGTGCCACTATATTTTACTTCTATTACACTTTTGGTGAAACCATCGAAACTTTATGATTTAAGATAATATTTGAGTAGCCAGGCACAGTGGCCTGCACCTGAGATTGGCACTACTCACAAGGCTGACACAGATTGATCAGCTCAACCTTGGAGCTAAATACTAGTCTGGAAAACAGATCCTGTCTCAAAGAAACAAAGACATTATTTGAGTTATAGCTAGTTCTCAGACACAGCATTTGTGAAGACGATTTGTATGTGGCTCATCTTTGGTCTTGTCTTTTTGTTTGTGTGGCTTTCTTGTGTGGTGTTTTCCTCCCCTACATGAGGAATACAGGACCCCACTTACTCAAAATGACATTCAAACAGCATAGATATGGGCTGGGAAGGTGGCTCAGTGGTAGAGTGCTTGCCTTGCATGCATGAAGCCCTGGGTTCAATTCCTTAGCACCACATAAGCAGAAAAAGCCAGGAGTAGCGCTGTAGCTCAAGTGGTAGAATGCTACCCTTGAGCTGAAGAGCTGAAGGACAGTGTCCAGGCCCAGAGTTCAGGCCCCACAACTGACAAAAAACAAACAAACAAAAAACAAAAAACCCCCAGCATAGATGTATACAAGGTATAATACTAAATAAAGCCATTCTTCTTCATTGAGTCTCTTTCCTGTCCCTGAAACAGGGACTTGATATATATTCTTTATTCTTCAGTCCCTTCTATACATATCTCTGTGTACATCTGTATCTCTAGTTTTACTTCAAACTTTGCCTTTGCCTAGAAGGAACCACAATTTACACATGACTGTGTAATGTGCCCTTTTTCTTCCTCCCTCCCTCTATTCCCCTCCTTTTTCTCTTCTCTTCCCCTACTGTTTCCTTCTCTATTTCCTTCTTTCCCTTCTTTCTCTTCCCCTCCTCTCTCTCCCTCTCCCTTTCTCTCCCTCCCTCATTTAGCCCAGGCTAGCTTTGAAATTGTCATCCTCCCATTTTAGCTTTCCAAATGCTGGGGACCACTGGTATCTGCAAGCCACTACATCCGGGTTTTCTTCTTTTATAAATAGACAAATATAAGCCTGGTGCTGATGACTTATGTCTATAATCCTAGCTACTCAGGAGACTGAGATCTGAGGATTGAGGTTCAAAGCTAGCCCAGACAGGGAAGTCTGTGACCATCAAAGTTAACCATCAAAGAACTAGAAATGGAAGTGTAGCTCAAGGGGTAGAATGTTTGCTCTAAGTGCAAAAAATTTCAAGGAGAGTGTCCAGGTACTGAGTTCAAGTCCCAGGACTGCAAATTGATGCTAAGCAAATATTTCTGCAAATGGATGGTAAGTCCTAGTTTTCATACAACTACTGCACTAAATGTTTGGACATCTGCATATGAATCATTGGCTTGCAGTTTCCTAGTCTCCTCTTCCTTACATTGCTCACAAATCACAGTCGTCAGAACAGGACTGGTAGAGATGAATTAGGATAAGTGTGGGAGTATTGTGTGGGGGTTTGTGTTCTGTTCTGAGGCATGTTGAGGCAAATGAGTAAGTGTGTGTGTATGTGAGTGTATGTGTGTGCTAGTACTGGGTCTTGGGCTTGGCCTTGAGCTCTTAATTGTCTTTTCCACTCAAGGCAAGGTTGGTGCTCTACCTTTGGTGCCACACCTTCATTTCCAGCGCTTTGGTGGTTAATTGGACATGAGTCTCAAGGACTTTTCTGCCCAGACTGCCTTGAAACTGCCATCCTCAGATCTCAGCCTCCTAGGTAGCTAAGATTATACAACTTGCTTTATTTTCAATTCATGGATAATGGAAATGACTAATAATTTGAATATAAAACCTGATGCCAACGTAATTCCGTATTACTCTAATTCAGATTTTTTAAATAAGTTTTTTATTGTGAAAATACTGTACAGAGGGGTTACAATTACATGAGCAACATAATGAGTACATTTCTTATCAAGCATTGTTGCCTCCTCCTTTGTTTTCCCCCTACCATCCCTGCCCTCCCATCTCCATGACTACACTCTCCCCCCACCCCCCCACCAAAGTTGTAAAGTTTGTTTTTCATAGCATCTTGTACATCTCATTTTTGCAATGAGTCCACCTGTATCCCTATTTAAACAATTTGTTTTTTCCCTTCCCCTCCACAAATTATACCAACATCAAATACAGTGAAAACAGGGGTTATTCTGTGGGGGAGGGACATACGAAGCAACAAAAAAAATCACGTAGTACCTTATAAATACATTAGAAACAACAGCAAGAAAGAGAAAAACTATATGTGTCCTTATCTTGGGGTTCATTTTGCCTAACATCATCTGATCTGACCTTTTCTGCTTGTCTCAGACATATACTAATTATTGCAAATAAGGGAAACCATGGGACCTATGTTTCTTTGGGCTTGGCTTACTTCACATAATATAATTTTTTCCAAATCTTTCCATTTCCTAATGGGGCAATGTCATTCTTTCTGATAGAGGCATAGAATTCCATTGTGTATATTTACCACATCAGATATTTGACATTGCAAATCAAAGCCTGTGTTTTGGGCTTTGAAGATTGGGGATTTTCCTACCTTGCTCTGGCCCCAGGAAGGAGGTGCATCACTGGGAATATGATGGTCATTTAAACAGCAGTTGCCTGATCAACATCACTACAGGGCACCCTGAGCTGTCTGGAGAGATGCTTTCTCCTCCTTTTTAAGTGTATAACACTACATCTTAATACACTACAGACAACTCTGCCTCTCTTGTCAAGCCAGTATGAATTCTTTTTAAAATAGAGACTTCTCTTTGGTGCTGGCACTTGGGGTTTGAACTCAAGGCCTCACACACTTGCTTGGTTTTTTCATTCAAGGTTAACACTCTACCACTTGAGATTTAGCTTCACTCCAGGTTTTTGCTAAATATTGGAGTTAAGACTCTGAGATTTCTGTGCCCAGAATGGTTTCTAACCATGATTCTCAGTTCTTGATTAGTTAGGATTATAAACATGAAACAATGGTGCTTGTTTTTTCTTAATTATTTATTTATTTATTATTAGAAGAGAAATTCTATAATGGCAGGGAAGACATTTGACATGAGGAGACCAAGGTACCACAAGACAAATGACTTTTCTGAGAATCTGATACCGTATAAGGCTAGGACTGGGATCAGAGATTCCAAATACCCCAGTTTCACTGTCATTTATATTGCAAGCCCAGAAAATGCAATGGATAACTGGAAAAGATCTGTAATCGGAAGTAGTTTCTTTTGCTACTTGGATATATCCAAAGACAAGTGATGGACATCTCAGTTCTTAGAACTGTGCTACACATTTGTTAGGAGAACAATTTCTTTTCCAAGCTACGGCATGCAGTTCTAATAATGGGCATTATGACTTTAATAGTGATATGCTTCATGAAATACAGCTTAGGAAAATGACCTAGAATATATGAATCCATCATAACTAGGCAATTTTCCCTGGGATAACAGCCATAGAAATGCTTCATTATTTCTAGCTCCAAGTATGATAAGGATTGAATCCAACTGCAGAATTAATATGCTATGTTCATAACAGACAGCATTTTCACCCCACCCCCACCCCAATGAAAATATACATGAAAATACATATGTGGTCTTAATTAGCAGATTCTATCTGTTCCACCTGGTTACATAACTAGCACCAGGTCTTAAAGCATAATGAATGCAATCTCCCAAATACATTTATGCATGGGTCAGGTTTCCATCACCCACTTTTTTGTTTACATATAAAGCAATGAAGACATGGAGGACCCAGCGTCCCACGTGGCAGGGGGAACACATTTGCTCCCTGTTTTCTGGTTTATAAGCTAATTGGAATTTTTAAAAGATTTGCCACATTCTCCTGGCAGATGGCATTTTGCTTTATCATTATTCATGGGTATTAATGACTTCCCTCTGGAGCATGTGTAGCCCATCTATTTTGAATTTCATTACATTTCATGCTGACAGTTCCAAACAGAATCAGATCTAGTCTTTT